CCGTGCTATGGCACACTATCAAATTAAACCATTTCTCGTTATCCTTTTATGTATACCACCAAACCATCAGTGCTCCCAATTTTCTTCCACATTGCTGTCAGTGTTAGTGCTTCCTTCATCAACCAGCATTTAAGTATCATTTAATAAAATCCCCATCAATTCCAAGCCACCACCCATTTAAACAATTTAACTTCTATTATGCTAATTATATTATCATCTATATGTACATTCCATTACACGTTTGATAAAAAATATGTATACAAGCAACATCTCATATCTTGAACTCACATCTCCTAAAAATGCTTCAATGGATTCAATCTTTATTAAATAATCTTAGGCCCCCTTTCTGTTTACAGCTCTCCTCTGTTCCTCTAACTTCTTATGTACTTCAAAGGTAGTCTCAATTATTATGATTAATTCGCACGTCAACAGCAAAGACCAAAGTATTTTCTTTTAACGGTTTATAGCAAGCACGTCAAAAGGTATCATAGAAGTGCGTGACAATAAATAATTTAAGCTCACTACGTAGTTGTTTTAATTTGTACTTCCTTGATATATGAGATGTAGTAACAAGGAAGAAAATAATATTTTTAACATGTCCATAAAATATTAAAATAAGCCACCACTTCTTGAAAAAGTATAACTTGGTGAATAGTTATTCAAATCTAAGAGAACATCTAGAAAGATGTTTCAATATCATTTCCAAACAAAGGTCTGTCTATAAACCAAATTAGTACTACAGCATACCAAGACCTAAACTAAGATTGGAATATCGCCAATATATAGGATCAAATTGGAAACGAGTAGGACCATACTGATTAATCATAAGGGTAGTAATTGTGTAAATTTGTAACAAAAAAGCAGTTATCTAAGTGAATATAGTTTTACTCGTTTCAACATTAAAATGTTTCTCCTCAATCATAGTTCCTCCATCAATCTCTCCTGTTGCCCATCAATCTCACCTGTCACTTAATAGTATATGATAAATAAGCTCAATTCCCATGATCAAAATTCTAACTGCCTCTTTATAAATAAATATCTGTGCAAAAATACATTTTATCCCAAAATTTTGCATCCTCTGCCATTAGGATATAATTAAAACTATCTTGTTAAACATGCTATATAATACCCAAATATTCGAAATAAATGTAAGTATATACTTTCTCTAAATGTATATTGATTTTCATAAAATTCTACTTTTAAAATCGAGTAGTTTGACGTATGGAAGTATGCATAAAGTATTAATCTAATTATCTAATTTAATAAATTGTACTAATGGTATAGCTAATGTATTTAACTGTTTATAATTAACTTATTATGATTAAAACAGTTGATTCAGATCCAAGTATTATGTATATGAAGAATTAATGCAATTCAGATTCTAAATTCTAGGATTCCACTTAGGTTAGCATGCATTGGCTGATCTTTTCCTTAGTCCATCCAACGGTTAGCATTAAAGCTTAGTGGAATTAAGAATATCTATATTATAATGTATGGTGTGTACGGCTGAGAGAGTTTTTTTTTTGTTTTATTTGTTTAAGTAATTGATGTGAAACTACTAGGAGTTATTTTAGAAATTAAAAAAGAGAAGAGATTAAAGTGTTGCTTGTTACAAATTGAAAGCTAGCACATAAAATTTGAGTTAGGAATTCGAAAGTATTAACTTGCTTAGGCCCAAAGATATGCAATAGAGATTAACCAAAACAATTCATTCAAAATCCAAGGAGATTTAAATGCAAAGTACAATTAACAAAAACCCAATGTTTAACAACGAGAATTTCACCTCGTGGCCGTCTCACTCAAATATTAGTAGGCTTTTAGCGGAGAGAGAAGATCCAAGCGATGAAGGATATTACCACTAGAGAGAAGGCGCCGAAGAACTTCGTCGGAGGAAAGGTAGCCGGTGGGGATGGATGTCGTAGGTGGCCGTCGAGACTCCAATTGTAATTTGAAAATCGTCGGTCGTAGATGCTTGCAAGGATCGGGACGACTCTCTCCAAATATTCTTCCACGATGGTTTCGTCTTCAAATCCTACGTCGAAGCACGGAGATCGTAGGATGTTGATGCTCCCGTCGGCGTTGAACACAAGACCCCACTCAAGCTCCGGATCCGCCATACGTCATTGAAATGGAGATGGAAGACGTCGCCTTCGTTCCCTCTTGGACTCTTGATTCAAGAGACGGGAAGAGAGAGGGTGGGGGACGGCGGGGATTCCAAAGAAGAAGGGTGGCCGGCGGGTGTAGAGATGAACAAGGCTTGAAAACAAATTAGGTTTAGGTGACTTCTTTTAGGGAATTAATCAAAATCTGAAGTAATTTCAATTTTGATTAAGTTTGGAGGGAAAATTGGCTTGAATTTGAAATTTTCAAATCAAGCAATTAAGGTATTAAGTGGGGTTAAAGAGGAGAAACCAATGAAGGGGCCGGCGGTCAATATAGGGAGGGAGGAGGTTTGAAAACTTAAAATTGAAATTTGATTTCAGTTTTAAGTGAATTAGGAGGAAAAATTATTTGGAGTTAATTCCTAATTCAAGAGGAATCAATGCCTTAATGGGGCATTAATGGGGCTCCACCCAAGCATGTGGCCGGCGGCTTCTAGAGGGGGAAAATTGGTGTGGGAGCAAGTGGATGGTTTCCAAATTGGGTGCATGAGGTTTAAGAAGGATTAAAACAAAATCCGTTTGAATTTGAATTTTGTCATGAAAACGGATTTAAAACTTTCCTAATTTGGAAATTCCAAAATTGGAAAGATTTTGAAATTCAAATTTTGAATTTTCAAAACTTGAATTCGAGGGGAAAGGGAGATGAGATCAATGGTTGAAAGGTCCACGGACGGATGGTGGTGGTGGGGTGGCCGGCGGCTAAGGGGAAGCTAAGGCCGGCGGGTTGGGAAGAAGGAAGGGGATTGGATGTTGGGGATGGACCACGAGCCACGGACTCTTCCAATGACTGGTGGGTATTGCTTTTCGCCCTCACCTTGGGCTCTCGTTCTCCTCTCTAACTCTCCATAAGAAGAAGAAGAAGACAAGATGATTAAAACAAATTTTCATTCCTAATATTCATTAAGCTCAAAATAATACATGAGACCACTATATATAGGTCTCAACTCATACAATGAGAAAATACGAAATTGCCCTCTGGGCTACAATAACAAAGTAACTCCCAACAGGGGTAAAAATGGAAAGATTGCAAATAACATAAGATAGTAATAAAATACATCATGACATCTAATATCAAAAGTAGAGGTGCTGAATCGTGGCCGTCGATCTGCGGTTTCGCCGGCGATAAACATGTCGGTAGCGTCTGTCGATGTCCTCATCATTTAGGAATTCAAATAAATTGTGGATGGCTTTATATAATAAAAATCATATTAAATTGTTGGATTAATTTATATAACTGAAATCATCAATTTGATGGTTGAATTCAAATGTTAATAATTTATGTATTCAAGAGGGGAATTGCGAATAGTCTAGGAAAAGAATTTGGTCGAATGAAGAATTCAATTGAGGTAGTGTATAAAAGGAGGAGAAAACAAGACCAAGAAGAACGAATTTCAAGGGAGGTGAGATACCTTACAATGCTATAGAAATTAATAATTGTTTTCTTTGATTGCAATTCATATCTATTCATATCTATTATGGTTGATAGCATTTATTTTAATTTTCTTCAATTTATTTCAGCTTATTCATGACTATGATTATTCGTAAAGTATTATGTATACTAGCATATGTCATGAGGGAAAAAAAACGATTACTATTAGGAAGGTGATTTAAGCCATATGTTGGGGGATAAGCTCGCACAAGTAAAGGCAAAAGACCTGACGAGGTAAGCCTATACTCTCAAGTCTAGAAATTGGGAATTTGGACCCAACCCTGAATTGAGAAAACAGCTTTAATTCTAAAAGTTGGGAATCTAGACCCAACCTTGAATTGGAAAGCTGAAAGGGTGCAAACTCTTATAGCCATCATATGATATGTTAAAAAGGGTGTTGAACAATTAGGAAAAATGAAAGTGTACTGTTATATTTTTTTTGTGATCCATGTGAAAGGTGCTCTAACCATGTTATTATTTAATCATGAATGGTATGTCTTTCTAAATGGTTAAAATGCTATTATTAATTTTTATACATTGCTTGTGTATTTCATTGAGCCATAGCTCATTTGCAGTGGTTATACTGCAGGTAAGGGAAAGGAGCCCGTAGGGCGCTAGGAGAGAAAGAGGTGACCGTTCCTTTTTGGTGTAAATATTTTTTGGTGTACAAAGGGATCTTAGAGGAGATCTGAAGGATAGTTGTATAAACCTTTTGGTATGTAAGTAAATTTCAAAAGATTTAGTAGAGCTCTGTATTTGTTTTAATTATGTTCAATGTTCAGTGAGTACATTATATGCTTCCATTATGATGTTTGGAGTTGATAGGTTGACATGTTAGGAGAGCCTAAGTAGATTTATTTCCTTCTCTGTTATACTCCAGTTTGTTTGTTAGAGGGTAAGCCAAACTGGGGTGTGACATACTACTTAATTCCCCATAATTCTCTAAATATAAATAGGTTCTCATTAGATACTAAATCTCTAACTTTATGCATTTTCTGCGCTTCTGTCTGTCACATAACTCATTGGTATGGTAGGCCAATTTCCTACATTTTGAACTTCATAGAATGTCAGTTTTAATGCATTCATTTAGTGATTACTCAAAAAAATGCATTAAGACATTTTATGGCACTAACTCCACTACAAATCATTTGTCAAATGACAGAAAAAAAACAAAGGATACTCTCCAGTCAGCATTTAGATTAAATTCTGCAAAATTAGAGGTAACCCACAATTTCCATTACAAGAAACTTTTGTCATGATGGTCCTCTACATATGAATTTCCTCTTTCAACAATCTACAACAGAGAATTCACATTAATATACACCAAAAAAGATCGGGGCTTGACAAAATTTCATAATATCAACATACTACTTTCCTGATGTGAGCCTAGAAAAGTAGATTTCAGATACCTCTCCCAATGCTGTTAAAAGATATGAGAGGATTCGAAGTGTAGCAACTCCAGCTGATGGATAGAAGTCCGCAGACTCAAGCTGGAAGGTGTAAAAGAGTACTTAATCAGAGTAACAACAATAGAAGAAACAACCAATTAGGCATATCTCCAAAATCTACTAGCTCATAAACAAACCTTCCGAGCCAAATGAACTAAAAAACTCCTCTGTGTAGCCTCTGTCATTTGGTCAGCTGCACCAACTCGTAGAATATAAAGAACACATGCCTTCAAAGAAAAATAATGGTTAATGAGTTTTCTAGATTAGGAACATGTATCTTCAATTTAATTCTGTTAATAAAAAAAAAAGAATAACATGTACATTCATTGTCACCAACTTCATTAAGTGGGTACTTATTTGTTATACCTGTCCTGAAAGCATTTGTTTCGTTCAGCAGAGAAGATTTTTCGTTAAGTCCTAAAAACTGAAGCAACTCTAGTTTACAACGAAACAACTTTTTGATGGAACTATCAATCTTAAACAATAACTATTGCTGGCATCGCATGGATGTTAGTAGGATGGAAAAATGATGATAGAAATGCATCACTTTGGAGAAAAATAAGATTTATAGAAAAATTACCAGTGCATGAGCATCCGTAGAAGCATTTCCTTGAAGCATGTCAATAGCATGTACAGCATAGTTTTCAAGTTCTTCGTCAGGAAGCTCATACTTGAGATGGATGAACTGGTCAAAAAGAAATCCCGATCAATGCAAATCAAGCACAAAGAAGTTTAAAGAAGATTGACTAGAGAGGCAAATATTAAACAATATAATACTGACTTCCGGATTGGTGAAAATTGGAGATACAGGTAAATTTAACATTAGGATTTAATCAGATCAAGTCCAACCAAAAATTAGATTGGAAAAACCTAGCATGCAAATGAAACTCTTCTAGCCCTGCCCTGGGAGCTGCCCCATATCAATCCTTAATGGAATAACAAGAATAAAATGTAAAGCTTTTAAAGGCCAAGGCATGCAACTGTCAAAATGAAATTAACTAAGCCTCGATTTGATGACTCACTCTCATCAAGAGATCTCTAAACTCTTTGAAAATGTATTTGTACTCATACGCTATCCAAGCTTTCTCTCCCTCCCTTTATAAAAACTACAAATTTTAAATACTTGGTTGACTCATATATGAACATAAAATCATTATTTGAGCTTAACAAAAATCACAAAACAAAGACAAAAGCCAGGTTGACCCAATGATGCAAATCAATATTCAGTCAATTTTTAAGTTGGATCAGAGTTACAACTGGCCGAACTATATCTCAATGGAATCCAAAAGGATTTAATCAGCATGGTTCTCTCATGATGCCTCCACAATCACTTCTCGCAAATCCCAAGCCCTCTAAGGATGATCATGGTCACTTCTTCTAAACCCAAAAAGGACCCAAACGCAACCTTTGGCCATGCATGGACCAAAACCTCATTGATCTTCTCGAAAACTTTATGGCTCCGAAAATTCGTATCCTATTCTGATGAGAGAGTTTCTTCGAGTTAAATCTTCAGAAGGCATATTAGATAGCTAATAAGATACTACTCAAAGATTTCACCTTCATTTTGTGAGAACTTTAAAATCTAATTCCAAGTTTCGCAAAGGTGTAAGCCCCTCATTTACAAGCTCAAGCTCGAGTTAGATGAGGTTTGGCACACGAGCTGGCGAATTGGCTCATAATGATATATATATTAAGATTTTTTTTCTTTCAGTAGAAAACCAACTGATGAGGACATCAGAATATCAACGGCTACAATATGGAGTTTATTTAATTTTTTATGTATTTTAAGTACTAGTTTATTTTATTTTTCTGTTTTCCCATTTTCCCCCTAAGGGTGGTCATGTGGTGTTGTAGCCCGAAGGGCATTTTAGTCTTTGTTTCTTTTCTTTTTGGTGAGGCCTATATATAGGTCATTTCTATTGTATTTGGGATGAGGAATGATAAAGTAAAATTTCAGTTTTCTTTCTTTGGATGATCTCTTGGTGAGTTCGTGAGAGTAGAGGCCCAAGTGGGGTAAAAGCAATACCCGTCAATCTTGGTGGATTCCAAGGTTCGCGGTTCTTCAATTTTTCTTTTCTTTTATTTTTCTTGTGTCAAATCCCCTCCCCTAAACTTCCAACCCACCATCGTCATCCCCCCAAGCCTTTCTTTGTATTTTTCTTCTAACCCGAGCCCTCCCCTTGCCGCCGGCCACCACCCACCCAACCGCCGGCCTCCCTTCCCCCATCCTCCCCTCTCCACACCCTTACCGCCGACCTTCTCCCTATTCCACCGCCATCGGAATCCTCCACCCACCACCACACCCACCGGCCCCCAACCACCCACCATCACCCTCGTAATTCTACCCTAGCCGCCGGCCACCATGATATCCAATTTGAATTTAAAATTCAAATTGCTCCATTAATAGCCTTCCTAAAATAACCCATGACATTTAGGAAAGAACCTTTATTTGGATTCAATTATCTTTTGAAATTCGAATAATTTCCTATTATTCAAATCCAATTAGGAAACATCTCTAATTTCACTTAAATCTGAATTAAAATTCAGATTTGATTGGAAGTGTTAATTAAGACATTGGGGCCCACTATTTACTCAAACCAATCCCTCTTTCCTTTTCCCCTTGACCGGCGTGCCCCTCTCCTCCTCCTTCCTATTTCTTTCTTTCCATTATTAATCCCCAATCAGCTCCTTAATTTGAATCCAATTAAATTCCTAATTGGTTGGAATTCAGCCTAGCCATTCCTAATTAAGAGTTTGGGCAGGAATAGCATAATTTTCCTGCAGCCATTGCCGCCCCCTTCCCAAGCCTCTCTGCCCCCCCACATCCCGTCTCTTTAGGAGATTCCTGGTGCCTGTCCAAGAGCTACAGCAGCCAATCCTGCTGTCCTGATTCCCGAGAGGCCACTCCTGCTATGCAAGACCACTCCAACTTAGCCAACTATTATCCCATCGCCCAGGTAGCTGTTTGGACTGCTGTTGGAAGTCTTTGTGTGCCAAAACGAGCATTTCCAACCATCACCTGCTGCTGTCCACAAGTTCCCAACTGCTGCCCATTCAGTTTGGTGGCCTATTCTTGCTGCCCTACTGTCCAGGAAGTCAATAAACGCCTTCCTCAAGGTTCCCAAACCCTGACATCGCTGATCATTCTTCCTCCAGTGCTTTGGGAAATCAACATGAAGGCTACGTATTCTCTGATTACTTGGGTAAACTTTCCTCCAAATCTTTAATCTCTTAGTCGCTTTCGATTGTGGCCATAGGCGATTCATGAAGGTTCGTGTCATTCTCTCAGCTAAAGCCTAGAAGTTGAAAGTGTCGAGTGAGTGATCATCTTGTAGTGACTAGTCTTATTGTTAGTGTAGGGATTTCTTGTTGAAACCTACCTCGCATGCAACGTTAAGAGTAATTGATTACCTTGTGGTTCTAACTTTTATATAAACTTATGACACCGCTCTCTTGTTTTATCGTGACGTTTTGGTCGCTTAAAGTTTTAAAGAATATTGTTCTCTAAATCAAGCGTGCAAGTTCCGACTTCATTATCCATTCACATATGTTTTACATCATCTTAATATCAGAGCATGGTAGGCATAGGTGACATATGCTAAAACATCCTAGGAGTCTATCTAACCAACCATGTGTTTGTTTGCATGCATACCGTTGCTTAGTATTTTTTGTTCACTGTTTTCCCCTGCTGTCCAGTAAATGTCTGCATCATTTTCATCATTTTAAGCAAGTTTACTCCATTGTTTAAGTGTTGTCTTTGTCACAACAACATTCCTAATTGCTTATGTTGCTTAAACAAACATTATAGGTTGCTGTCCAAGTTTTTCCTGCACCAATTAGTGTCCTTTAGGTTTGTCTAAGCTAGTGTTTAGGTGTTGTCCACACTTTATAAACCTTCCTAAACACCGAGACAACTTTATGCCCTGCTGTAATTTGTTGTCCTCAACCTGACAACCTTCCTAAGTGCCTAGGTTACTTAACCCACTAGTGTAGCTTGCTGTCCAAACAATTTTTGCACCTTTTAGTGAGTTTAAGTGGGCCTAACTTAGTGTCTAATTGATGTCCCTTACACCCAATCATCTTTGAGTGTCACTTGACGCTTCCCAATGAACACGATAGAACTTCAAAAGAAGTTAGATAACCTAGTTAGTCTTGTAGGCTCTCTAACTAAAACCACGAAGGAGGAACAGGTTGGCTCTCCCCACTTCAGGTATGTGCCCATTCGGTCAGTTATGTTAGTCGGGAGACGCCTCACTCTATTTATCAACCTAGACCTGAACCTAAACCATAACAACCTCACTTAGAGCCACCTTACCATCTACCCACCTTTGATGGTTCATCGGACACTTACTACTTTAGGGAATGGGTTAGACAACTAGAGGACTATTTTGAATCTCGCCATATCCCTGAGTCCCACCAGGCTAGCATCGCTGAGTCTCACCTAAAATGTCAAGCTCTTCAATTTTAGATGAGGTTGGAAGATCATAAAGAGTCTCGCGGTGAGTACTCTACTTCTAATTAAAAAGACATGAGGCGAGAACTTAATTTATAAGTGGTGTCAGTATTGCTTTATTGTTGTGTTTGCTTGTGCTATTTAAGGTTTACGTGAATGAAAAAGGATGTGTGTTTTATTTGCATTCCTAGAGCAAAATTTATTTTTAGGATGCATGATGTAGAACGGGAAGGGGAGGGGTCATATGAATTTGAAATTTCAAGTTAAGTGGGAAAGAGAGAGTAAGGGGCTGGCGGGTGTTATGGGGAGAAGAGAGGAGAATGGGAGGGAATTCAAAGTTTCTTAATTCATTAATTCAATTTAGAAGAAGGATAAAGAAATTAAATTAGACTTAATTTTAGGAATTTTTTTAATTTAGCTTGGTTAATTTAGGAAAGTATTTGAAATTCAAATTTAATTAAAATCTTTCCCAAATCATTTAGGCTAATTTAGGTGTGTAATAATGATGATTGAAATCATCATCAAGAAGGCCAAGGAAGTGTGGGAGGGTGTCCACATTCAATGAATGTGTCCAGGTTCAATGAATCACAAAAATTGGAATTAATTCTAATTAAATTCAAATTAGGAGAGATTTGGAGGGTTTCCTAAAAGCGATTTACTAATTAGGAAAATTAATTTAAATCAAATCCAATTAAAAATTTAATTATATTTAACTTAAGTAACTTTCCTAAAATAGAAATCCTTAAATAGGAAACAAATTCAAATTCAAATTTATTCGAATTTTGAATTCGAATTCATTGCCAAATTAAAAGGGCTAAAATAGGAAGGACTTTGAATGCAAGACGAAATTGGTGGAGCAAAGGAGGGAGGAGGTGGCCAGCGGCTAATGGGATAAGGGAGGATGAAGCCGACAGGTTGGGTGGGGGGAGGGTGCTTGGCCGGTGGGTTGTGGTGGAGATGGAGGTGAGAGGATCGATGCCTTGGTGGAGAGCTTGAGGAGGTGTCGACTTAGGAAAATAAGGAAAAACAAAATAATGGAAAAAAAGATAAAACCGCGAGCCTTGGACTCTTCCGAAGACTAACGGGTGATACATTGCCCTTCTCCAAGGGACTTTAAGCCACGAGCCCGGACCCATCCTGCGGCTGGTGGAAGCTTCGATTCCCTCCCATAGGAATCTCACCCAAGTTCTCTTCAAAGAACACAAGTGCAAAAAAAAAAAAATTTAAATTCCATCATACCTAATACAAAAAAAGTGACCTCTATATATAGGCCTCAAAAGAAACTAAAAGATAAATTTGCCACTTAGGCTTACATAAAACAAGACTCTTAAATAAGAAGAGTAAAAAAGGAAAATTATAAAATTAAATCAAAATACATTTAATAAATTAAAATAAAACGGAGTGATCTTGGCCGTCGATCTTCAGCTCTTCCTTCGAATATCGTCCACCGTCGGATGTCCGCATCAATTTGATATCAAAGCTTTGGGTTGTCGTGTGAGTCTTCCTTTTGTTTTAAATCAAAAACAAAAAAAAATGGAAAACCATCAAGAAGCCGAAGTTCCAATTCAAGATGTAATTGAGTTTGAAGTTTCTGAAAGCCAGCCATCTATTCAAATAATTCTAGAGAATAACTTTCCATCAACATAATAGGTTCTGCCTCAAACAATTTCTACATAACCAATTCATAATGAAATACTCAGAGTGCAATGACAACAATATTTATGTACTGAGAAGTATAAAAATAAGAAACTGCCAGTTTGGTCAGAATTTGAACAAGAAAAAGAGAACATAAAAAGAAAATACGACATTCTACTGAAGGATGCTGAGAGGGAGTATTTTCATGGAAAAAAGATGAAGATTCTGGAGAAATTTCAAAAGATTGTTTTGCCCAAAGTTGTTGATCTTATTACAAATGAAGATGAATCAACAGATGATCTTGTTGAAGATGTTGTAGACATTCGTACTATCCAGACAAGACAAAACGTGAACCAACGATTCTTGGTTAAATGGATGGGACATCCTTTGTCTGATTGTTCTTGGGTTAAAGCTAAAGAGTTGCAGATTCTTCGTCCTGATATCTATTCTTCGTCCTGATATCTACCAACGTGTTACTGAAGCTTTCTCATTAGGAGATGAGATTCTTCCACTATGGAAGAATTGATGCAGTCAAGAGTTGTCATTTTATGTTTTATTTATTTTCTACTTGTGTTTCTATCTTTCTTTCTCCAGTGACTTCTCAATTTTTTCTGTTGACCCTTTGTTTTCTCTGTTGGCCCCTTGGTATCCCAGATATCTCTCAGTTTCCCTGTCGTCCACTCATTTTCTCTGTTGTCTTCTCCCATATACAAGTTGTTCTTTGTTTCCCTAAGTGTTGTTTGATCTTCCCTAGGTGTTGTTTGGTCTTCCCTAAGTGCTGCTGACTTTCTGGCTTTGACCATTCTCCAGATATAATAGAAGGGATTCCTGAGTTCACTTTTCACTCCAAACATATCCAAGTTCCCTATCCATTCTACGTAAAAATTTTGTTTGAGTAGATCTAAAACTGAATACATTTAAGTGCATAAGATCGCACTATACACTCACTATTTCTAACAGAGACTTCCATCAACATTTACCGTATCCCATCCATTGTTTAAGGCTAATCACTAGTAACTAAATTGAGAAAGAATGAATAGTTGTGAGTGTGAGGGAAAAGAGATGGCTATCAGCTACAATGAAAATCATGGGTCTAACCTTCTCGATATGGTTTCTCTCTTTCTCTCCAACTCCAGCAATGTAAGTCATGCTACACCCCATCATGACCGCTATTGGGTAGTGGGCCATATAGCCCATTCTGCAGCATAAATCATGATGTGCTCTATCATAGCATCAAGCAAAACACACTTTGTACCATAATTGATGTAGGCAAGGGGGGGTCAAATCAAATCCTGATATTTGATTTTTGACTCCTCTAGCTCATTAATGTCTTGTAAAAAAATTAGCTCATTATGAGCTTATTTTTAGTTCATTTATTGAACTAAAAATTAGCTCATTATTTCTTAAAATGATGTAGGCAATGTAAGTCATGTTGACCCACTTTTTTTAGTTGTTTTTTAAACCCTAGACTTGAGAGTTAAGACTTTATTTATTATTGTATTTGAAACCCTAGACTTAAGAGCTAAGATTTGTGTACATAAATGTATGAAGCAATACTTTAAATCCAAGGTACATTTGTATTCATCTTTTAAATTAATTTTAAATTTCTTGGTAAATGAATAAATAATTTTATACGCTTTGTATTATTGGAAGGTATTCAAGTAAAGAATGGCTTCAAGAATACCCTCAACTTGTCTCACCACAAAAAGATTTAGAAGTTTCAAATATAAGAAATATATACTTGAAATGATATTTCCCAAATGAAGAGGAGAGAATAAAGATTAATATAGAACTTATAAAGTTCTTTGGATATTTAGAGGAATTTGGTGATCAAAAATCTTTGACTGATAGATGGAGAATGGATCCAAAAATGTGATGGTTAATTCATGGAGTTTCAGCACCGCTTCTTCAAATAATAGCAATAAAACGTCTTGGTCAAGTATCATCCTCTTCTTGTTGTGAGAGAAATTGGAGCACGTACTTATTTATTCGATCGATGAAGAGGAATAAAATAACTCCACAATGAGCTAAAGATTTAGTTTATGTGCATACAAATCTTCGTCTTCTATCAAGGAAGACCACTTTATATTACAGGTGAAAACAAGAAGTTGGATGTTGCTGGAGATTGGTTCGAGTGTCGTGATGATATGGGATTATTGGAAGTTGCAAATCTTTCTCTAGATGAACTAGAGTTGGAAGTAGTGATATTCAATGATGATGATATTAAAGGCCAAAGATCAACCTCTGAATCTAATTCTATCATTCCCTCTATTGAACCTTCAAGTTGTACTAAATGATTTTTTGCTTATATTTTTGTGATAGTACTAGACATTTTGTACTAAACATTTTTATGTTATAAGCTAAACAAGTTATCATGACATTGATTTATTATTGTTTGTCATTTCTAATATGATGTCACCTTAATTTCTATATATTATATTAAAAAAATTATTAAGCCGTATCCACGCCGCACCCGTGTCCTATATTTTAAAAAAATGTCGTGTCCCGTGTCCGTGTCCGTGCATCATAGGATTAAACTTTTGGTCTAACAAGTCAATTGTGATCCTTCCTAAAAGTAACAAAGCAATTTAAACTTTCTAATTCATTAAACTGAAGAAAAAATACCCACACAAAATTTAATGTCAATAAGCTTAAGAGGAACGCTTCAGCCTAATATGGCCCAAGGTTGGGTTATATATGAGCCAAAAAGAATACACAACAACAAATAAAAAATGCAAGGTTTGCCAGATATTCATGAAAATATAAGGTGGTGGTGGTCCTGGAGGATTTCTTTCAGATATTTATTACTAAGTTGAAGTTGTAACCACCTGAAGAAAGAATACCCATGATAAACTCAACCCAATTCGAAGATCCTTAGATCTCACTCCAGTTGCTGCAATAAAACAATTGGAAATACTGACAATTAGAAAAAGTGCAAAAAAAATGTCTTTATAATAATATAGTAAATTTCATGCATTATCATGAGAAAATTACCACTCGAGCATTGAGAATCCGTATAAATCATTGAAGATATCAATCAATTGATCGGAATATAATTGACTCAAGAAAAAATTGAAGTCACAAAAAATTTTCCACTCAAGAGGATCAGACTCTTAAAAAAATGGCCCCTTTTCAGTGACGTTGGGGCACCGTACATATTTGAAGGCTTCACCCGTAAAATAAACCATTGTTAAAAGCATTCACAAGAAAAAAAATAAAAAAATATTTGCCAGTTCATTGTAGCCAAAAATAAATAAAGGAACAAATAAAAAGAGCCTCCATTCAATTTCTTCTAGCTTCTTATATATATAAGATATATATATATATATATATATAGAGAGAGAGAGAGAGAGAGAACTAAACTATGGCTTCTGGCCCGGTCAGCAGAGAAACTGCACTTTTCAAGCCAATTACATGTCAATCATAAAAGCTCTAAAACCATAATAGGATCCGCTGGCTGACCTTAATCAACCAATGAGAAATTGCTATTAACCAATATTACTAAAATTTAATCATACAGAAAGACAAAAAAACACTTAGCGATGAACAATAAGTGACTCCTAAAAATTTTACTTTTTGAAAGATATTTTAAAAATCAAAACAGTAGATTTTATTCTAAATCCAAAATTCCATTCAAATTAACTGATTGTATAAAAAATATAAACCATTACAATGAAAATTACGAACATACATAATCAATGGCCAGCAAATTGAAGAATTCAATGAATTTTGGTCCCTACCAAGTTTCAAGGGTAGATAGAAATATCAGCGGAGTTGATTACCAATTCGGTGCCTCTATAACAAAACTTTATAGGACAAATAAAGTTCCCCGTCCCCCTGCACAGTTGCTCTAGCTCTCTGGCTCTATATTCTTCTCTCCAATGGCACGACTTATATATATATATATATATATATATAACTTCATAAATTGTTTAATTAATGTACTGTTCATAGCCAATAATGCGCTGTAGCAAGCAAACGATCCATTACTATTTCCCGTGACATGCATTGGAGGATCGGTATTAAGATTATTATTATTACTATTATTATTATATATCTCTCAGGTAATAATCTAAAGCACTTACCCAGCACTCCATTTGTCTAATTCCCATAGCTCTCCTAGAACCGACCAAAGAGAGCTGTTGTTAGGGCTGGCCGAAGGGAAAATAAGAAAGAAAAAGAGAAGGGTATGAAGTGAAGAAGAGAAGGGTATGAAGAGAAGAAGAGAATGGTAAGGCATGGGTTTGGAGCCGAAAATCCAATTTTTAACTTTTTTCCATAAATCGAGTATGTATTGAAGTTGGAAATCCTTTCAAGGTAAAAATGTCACTTTGAGGAATTTACGATAGATTCATGTCATTTAGTTGGAATCAATTTAAATTGAGAAAATTCTCGTTATTAGGTTATCTAAAAAAACAAGACTTGCAGCTATGTAGCATGGATACTCCTATTTACGAGGCATGTTGTATCTGACACGTGTCGGATACGGATACGCCTCTGATATGACACGGATATGTGTCGGATACGGCTTTGTCGTATCCAATTAAAATATTATTTAAATTTGATCGGACACGTGTATCGGATATACGTCGTATTTAAAAACAGAAAAAAAAAATAGAGCCACAATTTGCCCAATTTATTTCGCTTTTCCGCTCGATATCCCTATTCATTTATGCGGCTTACACATTTCGGCGAGCTTGGTTTTTCGTTTCCGCACAAGCATTCGTCTTCTTCGTTATAGTCAAAGGAGCGGCTCGACGAAGCGAGCATAGAAGCGGACATGATCATCCTTCGTCTATGAAGAGGCTTGACGATGCTAGCATTAAAGCTGACTGGATCATCCTTCGTCCATAGAACCACAAAGAAGACCACTTATCAACTTCATGGTTGTAACAGAGAGCTAGCCTATGTTTATCAAAGCTGTAAACTGTGAAGGACAGTACAAGGATAAGTTTTTCATTTTTAATTTAATCAAAAAAGTTATCATGATAGTGGGGCCTTCAAACATCATTCAGGTCATTATTGATAATGCACTTGTTTGTAGAGCTGCAGGTCTACTTGTAGAGTAAGTCTATCATCATATTTTTTGGACATCATGTGTTGTGCATACGCTTAATCTTGCCTTGAAAAATATTTGTGCAGCTAAAAATACCGAGGCAAACAAAATCACATACAATGAATGTCATTGGATCACAATGATTGTTAGAGATGCAGTTGTAATTAGGAATTTTATTATGAATCACTCCATAAGACTCTATATTCAATGAATTCTCTAATTTAAAGATGCTTGCAGTTGCTGAAAATCGGTTTGCCTCAGTTATAGTGATGCTGAGAAGATTCAAAAAAATAAAAAATGCTCTTCAAACTATCGTGATCAGTGCCAAATGGTCATGTTATAGAGAAGATGATGTTGGAAAGGCTAAGTATGTAAAGAGAAGCTTTTAGATGATTTATGGTGGGATGAAATTGAATACATCATATATTTCACAGATCCAATTTATGAGATGTTGAGAGTAGCTAATACGGATAAGTCTTGTTTACATCTCATTTATGAAATGTGGGATTAAATGCCAGCCAAAGTAAAAAAAATTATATATAGGCGCGAGAGGAAGGCACTTCATGAAGACTCGAGCTTCTAGGATGTTATTTATGCTATTCTAGAAGATAGGTAGAGCAAAATTAATACAAATTTATATTGCTTGGCTCACTCACTAAATCCCAGGTAAATTTCAACATTTTTTCATTATTAATTCACAATTTGTTGTTTAGTAATTTTAACATTTTTTTATTTTAATCTTATTTGAAGATATTCAACTAAAGAATGACTTCAAGAGGATCCTCAAAGAGTTTCTCCACAGAAAGATTTAGAACTTTCAAAAAAAGAGGAAGACATGTTTGAAAAGTTATTTTCCAAATGAGCGTTATTTTCCAAATGAGGAGGAGAGAAGAAGTGTCAATATTGAGCTTGCTAAATTTTTTGGTTATTTAGAGGACTTTGGTAACCAAGAGTCATTGCGTGATAGGTGGAGAATTGATCCGAAAATGTGGTGGATTATACATGAAGCTTCAGCACCTCTACTTTAAACAATCGCCATAAAATTGCTTGGCCAAGTTTCATCCCCATCTTGTTGTGAAAGAAATTGGAGCACATACTCATTCATTCAATCAATGAAGAGAAATTAAAGTACTGATGCAAACAAAAATTTGGAAAAGCAAAAACTAAACCTTCCTAGAAAATAGAAATGACACAAAATTCCCAAAAACTAGACAAAATACAACATTTAAAACAAAGACGACTTCACTTTTATAATATAAAAAGACTTACAAACTTTGACGCTTACAAAAGACAAAATAAAGACACCTAAAGTTGCTCGCATTCGTCGAGAAGAAGGATACAGGTGGGGTGGTCACTTGCGGCGAGAAGAAAGATATTAGAAGCCGAGACGAAACATAGCTCGCAAGCTATAGAGAGGATAAGAGGAAGAGGTGGAACAAGCTCTCAAGCTTTTCTACGAAGAAACCTGCAGGTTTAGTGATGCAGAACGGGAATAAAAAAAGGGACATTTGAAATTTGAATTTCTTGCTTTAATTGAAATCAAAATATTATGAATAATTAAATCAAATCAAATCCAATTAGAAACCTAATTAGATTTAATTTAAGTAACTTTTCTAAAACAGATCATCTTAAATTAGGAAAGTATTTCAAATTCAAAATTACTTAGAATTTGAAATCAAATATTTTTAGAATTTAAATCATTTGATAAAAGGAAGTAATCAAAGAGGAATTCAAATTTTGGGGGCAAGGCAAAGAGGAAGAAGGGGATTAATTTACTTCCAATTGAAGAGGTTCCTTATTGGAAATAAATTAATTTGAAAGGACTAAGATAAATTCGGTCAAAAGAGGTGGGAGAGATTTGAATTGTTTTCAAAGTGGAGATGAGAGTTTTAGAAAACAATTTCTAATTTCATTCATGAGGGGGGCCGGCGGCTATAGAGAGGGAGGGATGAATTAATGAGGCATTTAATGCCTACTTAAATTAATAAACTAAATTTGGAAAGCAATATTTCCTCCCTTCTTAATTTAAAATTTAAATAGGAATCATTTTAGTAAGTTTCCTAAAATAGGATTTTGTAAATTAGGCAACTCTTTCAAATTCAAATTAATTTGAACTTGATCATGAAGAGAGTTACCAAAATTATGAAATCTATTTTAGGAAGATTATGGATCACGTGAAGAAATGGGAGGATCCAAGGGTGGCCGGCAGTGAAAGGGTGTCCGTGGATGAAGTAGGATGTTGGGGAAACTATGTGGTCGGCGATCAAGGGAGGAGGAGAAAAGGATTTAGAGAAAGAAAGATACAACCGCGAGCCCAGAAACATCCTACAGCTGACGGGTACTACGTTGCCCTACACCAAGGGACTTCAGGCCACGAGCTCGGACACATCCTGCGGCTGGTGGAAGCTACGAATTCCTCCCATAGGAAATTTCACCCAAGGTTCTTCCCAAAGAACACAGTGCAAAAACAAAATTTTATTATAATTTCATCATTACATTACACAAGCAATAGCCTCTATATATAGGCATAAGAAACTAAAACAAGACACATATGCCCATAGGGCTTACATAGGATAACCCTCTTAAGTAAGGGTAAAAACAAAAAATTCATTAAAAAAATAAAAATTACAAATAACAAATTAAGATAAGGTGGAATGATCTCGATCGTCGATCGTCGTCTCCTCCTTTGAAAATCTTCATGATCGGATGTCCGCATCATTTAGGCTCCCAAAAATAACAACATATCCTTAATCTAAAAAACTCTAAATTTGCCCAAACATCTTATATTTATAGAAGAGAAAGGGGAGCCAAACAGCCAAATAAAATCCCATTTAAACCAATCAGCTAAGGGGAAGAGGAAGGGCACCTGTTATCACAAAACAACTCCCAAAAAATCAGCACAGGAAAGTAGGAAACTGTTGGGAGATACCACGGGAAAACAGCCAGGGAGGGTCCTGAAGAGCCAACACAAAAAACTGGGCTGAAGAAGCCACGGGAAGGCAGCCAGGGAGCAAACCGAGCAGACAACACAAGAACCGAGAAGGAGAAATCACGGGAAAGCAGCCAGGGGGAAAACCGAAAAGGCAATTAGCACCTAGCATCAATTCACGGGACAGCACAAGGAGACACAAGAAGGGGAAGAGGCAAAGGCAGACAAGGGAAGAAACCAATGGCCAATAAGGGAAATGAACCTAATTAAAAGATAATTTATGAGCTGAATTAAGTAGAAAAACATTTATGAGCTGACATCTAGTATAGGAAATTAAAGCTCACCAAAAATAAAACCCAACTTGTTTTGACACCCCCTGCCTACATCAATTCTCCTTCGGTTGAAAGAACTCACCTCCCGATGAGGTTGCTATAGATTTGAACCAAGGAGACGAAGGAAGTGCATCAAGCTCTTGAATTTTGACTTCATATTTCTTCAGAATCTTCTCACGTTCTTGCTGAAACTGCTCTTGCAAAAATTTCTTTTTCTTCAAATAGTTTTTAGTACTCATATGCAATTTCATTTGTATCTTGTATAGTTCATTCTGTAGGAGATCTGTTAAACTTTCTTCCGTCGGAATCCACCTGTCCATTGGAATAATTTCTTCGAAATCTTTGGACTAATTTTCATCCACCACTAGATCATTGTTTTTATGGTTTTCCAATTTTTTCTAAAAGAAGACTCAACAAAACTTAAATCACTTGATAACAAGACTCACACAACAACTGTTATGACTCACCAAGACTCACTCGACAAACCTGCTCTGATACCAAATTGATGCAAGCAAAAATTTGGTAAAAGCCCCAAAAGTTTTTCAAGCAAAAACTAAACCTTCCTAGGAAATAGAAATGACAAAAAATTCTGAAAAACTAGACAAAATACAACATTTAAAACAAAGATGACTTCACTTTTATAATATAAAAGAACTTACAAACTTTGACGCTTACAAACGACAAAATAAAGACACCTAAAGTTGCTCGCATTCGTCGAGAAGAAGGATACAGGTGGGGTGATGATGTAGGCAAGGGGGGGGGGGGGGGTCAAATCAAATCCTAATATTTGATTTTTGACTCCTCTAGCTCATTAATGTCTAGTAAAAAAATTAGCTCATTATTTCTTAAAATGATTTTTCTTCTTTCCCCTTTTTTCTTCTCATTTCCTTGTCCCTTCCCCTTCCTCTTTTCTTCTTGTCTCTTGGATATCCGTGGCCTACTCTTTAATGGTGGCTGAATTTTATGCATTATCTTGAAATTCTGTGGCTTGTATTTAATGGGGGCTGAATTCTATGCTTTGAATTCATTGGGAAGCTAAGGATTTTAATGCTAGACATTCCATCCGGCTGTTATTTCCATGCCTTGGCTGATTTCCGAAATGGGAAGCTTTTCCCGTTACTGTGCTGCTTTGAAAATTCCGCCTGTTTGATGGTGCCTTGGTTCCGTGAGCTGCTGGGTTGTTTTTCCGAAAAAGGCTTTTGGAAAACCTATGGGAATTAATGCTTGGAATGATGTGGCTTTTGGCATTCCTTTCCTTTGGATTCTTGGGGCTGTTTGGTGGCTGATTGGGGAGGAATTCCAAGAGTTTTTTTACTGTTTTCTGTGCAGTTTTCTACTGCAGTTTTTTGGTGTCTTTTAGCCTTCTTCTAGGTGTCTTTTAACCCTCCATATTCCCTAATATTTGGGCTGTTTGGCTGCCCTTTTTGTGCCTATAAATAATGTTGTTTGTGGCTATTTTAGGTGATATATGAAAGTGATAATGTGATTTTTGGGACAAAACCTGAGTGGTTTTTTGCTTTAGAAATCCTGCGGGCTCTTTCTAAGCTTCTTTCTCATCCCCTCCGAAAATCCTGCGGGCTCTTTCCAACTTTCGTCTCGGCCTCTAATCTCTTTCTTCTCTCCATAGTGCCATTCCATTGTATCCTTCTTCTCAAAGTAAGCAAGTTTAGGGTGTCTTGTTTGAGTCAAGTTTATAAGTCTTTTCTTTTATATGATATAAAAAGTTTGTTTTGTCTAATTTGTCTAGTTTTTGTGAGTTCTTGTAATCTTTTATTCTCTAGAAAGAGTTTCTTTTTTGTGATCAAAAATTTGGGTCCCTCTCCCAAATTTTTGATTGCATCAGGTGATCACTTGCAGCGAGAAGAGAAAGATTAGAAGCCGAGACGAAACATAGCTCGCAAGCTATAGAGAGGAGAAGAGGAAGAGGTGGAACAAGCTCTCAAAAATAACATCATATCCTTCTCCTAAAAAACTCTAACTTTGCCCAAATATCTTATATTTATAGAGGAGAAAGGGGAGCCAAACAGTCACATAAAATCCCATTTAAACCAATCAGCTACGAGGAAGAGGAAGGGCAGCTGTTATCACAAACAACTCCTAAAAAATCAGCACAGGAATCGGTTAGGAGAAGCCACGGGAAAACAGCCATGGAGGGACCCGAAGAGCCAACAAAAAAACTGGGCTAGAGAAGCCACAGGAAGGCAGTCAGGGAGCAAACTGAGCAGGCAACACAGGAACCGGGAAGGAAAAATCACGGGAAAGTAGCCAGGGGGAAAACCGAAAATGCAACCAGCACCTAGCATCAATTCACGGGACAACACAAGGAGAAACCAAGGAGACACAAGAAGGGGAAGAGGCAAAGGCAGCCAAGGAAAGAAACCAAGGGCCAATAGGGGGAAATGAACCTAATTAAAGATAATTTATGAGCTGAATTAAGTAGAAAAACATTTATGAGCTGACATCTAGTATAGGAAATTAAAGCTCACCAAAAATAAAACCTAACTTGTTTTGACCCCCCCCCCTGCCTACATCAACTCTACAACGAGCTGAAGATTTAGTTTATATGCAAACAAACATTCGGCTTCTCTCAAAGAAAACTCCAACTTATATAGAAGGAGACAACAAGATGTGGGATGTTGTTGGAGATGGATTTGAATCTCTTGAGGATATGGGAATATTAGATAGTGCTAATCTTTCACTTGATGAGCCTGAATTGGAAGTTATGATATTTATTGAAGATGATATAGAAATTCAAAGACAAACCACTAAAGAAGTTAATCCTATCATTCCTTCTATTGAATAATTGAAACTTCATATGCTGGACAATTTATATTTTAATTTCTGTAGTTGTATTAGACATTTAAATATTTAATGATTACTTTTATTTTGATATTAAAAGATGCAATGCTACAAATAATGTTACTTTCAAATTTTTTTGTCAGTTCAAATATTACGCTTTGATTACTTTCTTAATTTTTATGTATGATTTATATATTATAATGTCATATCCACGCCATATCTGTATCTTGTATTTTTAAGAATTGACGTGTCCCGTATCCGTATCGTGTCATATCCGTGTCGCCGTATCCGTATCGGTGCAACATAGATCTCCACACAGCAAAAGCATGTCAAAGCATAAGAAAAATTAAATCAATGAGGTATCAAAATTTCTTAGACGAAGCACATGAAAAACTACAAGGAAAGCGATCAAAAAAACTGAATAGCAAAATAAAAATATCATAATCAAAACTTTTTATCAAAAAGCCCATAAACAAGCCGTTATAAAAGAGATAAATCATCAATCAGCACTTTGTAGAAAGCAGCAAAAAATGGTGACATCAAATACTTTTTCCTTTTTTATTCAAATAGAGAATCTATTACCAATATGAAGAGTTACCTCGAATGAATGGTGACATCAAATATTTTTGCAAACTATCCTCCAATTTCTTTGCTGGAACAGGGTGATCTTTTCCCTTTTTATTAACCTTTACATCAAGTAAGCACTTATCGTCATAAGAAAGATCCTACGGAAAATGAACGAATAAACAGATAGAAGTGAACATGGTGTACCTGTGCAACCAGATTTATTGCAAGAGCAAGCAATGCACCTAAAGCCTCCGCAAATGCATCCCTAACAGATGAGACGGAATCCTCAAGACCCTATCAAAATGTCAACAAATTTATATTAAATGAACCAACTATACGCTTAATCATGATCCACAAAAAATAAAAGAAATAAAAACAAAACTAAGAGATGCAAAAAAAAGTTAAAGATAAAGAGAAACTTCTGCAAAATAAGACTGAAACTATACCTTGACACAATGTGACATTGAATTTTCAATCTCGGTAGATAATAGACCAGGACCACCTATGCTAGCAAAAGTTTTCAAGCATCTTGCTGCAGCAAGCCTGACAATGAATGCCTTATCACTCACACCAAATCGCATGATGATCCTGAAGGATTCTGAGTAAGCAGCAGATGCACCACCAGAACCTGAACCTTCAAGTGCACTCTCAAGCATTCTCAAAGCATCTTGCCGTACAAAATCCTGGCATATCCATTGGAAAAGTAAAAGATGCAATGGATATAACTGCATGTTTAACAGTTACAGATACAAGAAAACAAAAAAATCGTAAAAATAAAAAATAAAAAATAAAAAAACAGCAATGTCAAGACACCATCCTCAAAGGCTTAGGCTTCGTTTGGGACAGCTTTCTTAAGCTTCTTAAAACTGCTTTCTAGTACAAAAATTTAAATTTTTAACTAAAAAAATAGCTTTAAGAAGCAATAAGAAAGCCATCCCAAACGAAACCTTAATTACTTTGCATCGTTCCCTAGAACAAATGGATGGTAATAAGTTCGCTCTATCTTAAACACCAGCAAGGACCATGCTAAGGACTAAAGTTCAACACCTGTGAGTACCATACAGAAGTACAGAAACTGTTAATTGACAACAGCAAATGTTCCCTCAGACAGCAAAAATATTATTGGTCCATGAATTAATTAGTCAAATAGTCTTTTTTAAGTTTGCTCTCCTTCCCGTATGTCTGAGAAATAGTAGAAGATAAACACGTAATACCAACGTTATTTACAACTTAACAGCCTTCAAAAAAATGAAGTACAATGTCGAGTAAACATACTATAATTTAAATCCATTGTTTTAAAGAAAATAAAAAATAAAAACAATCTTTAATACCTTTACTGTTTATTGATTCAGGTCCTTGATAAACATAAAAGGCTGACTTCCACCTCTTGTATCGTTATGCACCCATAAAGTTAAAAACAATGCCAACCCAGTGATACATCAAACTGTAATGCTAACAAGGCAAGAAATGTTTTTTGTCAAATCATGCATCGATTTTTTTTTCTTCAAAAGCATTGTGCTAAAAAATAACCATGTCTACAAATGTTCTTTGCCATACCAAATATTCACCCGATCAACACGAATCTTGAGATGATATGTAAATTGGAAACATCTGAAATTACATTCCGTGTTACTTGAACTCTAATTTCAACAAAATTATAGTCAAACTGAACGACTCAACAAGACGAACCCAATGAAATCAAAAGTGACCTAATTTGAGTCAAAATAAAATCAAGCACTTCAAGTATATTTGAAAGTTTCAGGACATTAATTCAAGGCAAAAAGGGGTCTCAAAATTTTTTGTGCGTATAGCAAAATCAAGCAACCCAACAAGTCAAATCCAACGAGCACAAATATCATGTAATTCTAAGGTCATTAACGTGCTCAAATACTAAATAAATGATCCATGAACAAGAAGGTCAATTCAGACCATTTGATGAATTATTTTAGATTATTGCCCAAATTATCAAAATACCCTTATCAAAAAGCTATAAATAAGACCTCATTCTCTATGTGAGAGAGAAGTTTGAGAGATGAGAAAGTTAAAGAATAATATTATATTGCCTAGCAATCAACACCGACAAACCCAATTAGCAATCACTGCCAACATCACCAGGCTATCGTCATCCAACTATTGTTGTATGCTATTAATATCTGACATTGTTATTACTATAATTCCTTCAACTGTGAAGTACAGATTCTTATATCTATAATTATAAAGCGGACTTTTGCAATTGGGTCGGGTCCGACGATTTTACCCCTTTTGTGTTTTCCACATAAAAATTTGTTGTTTTTGTAACTTCTATCTACGATTCCTACATCTTTGTACAAAGCTAAGATATTCAACAACTCTATATCGCCGTAAATTTTCTAAAATTTAATAATTCAATGGTGTCTATGGGAAAGTTTCCCAATGGGATAAACTTAAAAAATAGTCCCCAGACAATTCGAATATGGCCAATTTAATCCCAAAATATCATGTTGCTACAATTTAATCTCTCAACTATACAAATTTTTCAGAAACAATCCCTTTTGGACTAAATTGGGATCATTTTTGCATAGTCAAGCAACTAAGTTACAAAACTTTATATCACAATCACAACATGAGGGACCATTTTAGATCAATTTTGCATAATCCATTAGTCGAATTAGAGCAACATGATACTCTAGGTGTAAACTGGCCACACATAAATAGCTTAGGGACTATTTTGTAATTTTTCTAAAATCAAAACATACTAAAAAATACTTTTTCCATGGCTATCAATCGATCACCTAAACAAGAATAACACAATTTTGATGGTGAAGACTACCCAGACCTCAATTTCAAGGATTATAAGTACAGAATGGAAGAACATTAAGTTCAAATACTTTAACTCTTAGAGAAGTTTGGACTACAAAGAGGATCATTATTGCACGATATAGTTCTCTTACCACAAAACAACAATTTGGCTCAAGGTTGTAGAAAACGGATCAGAGATAGAACCAGAAAAGAGAGAGGTTCAAGTTTTAATGGTTCAACCAAGGTGGAATCAGGGTCGAACTGAAAGGTGTAATAAATACAAAAAATATCTAAATTATAAGATAACGATGTAATAATTATGAAATAATATAATTTTAGGACTATAAATAAATAAATTAATACATAAATAACACATTCTATAATTTTAAATTTAAATATAAATATTTATTAATTTATGTTATTTATTTAAATATATAAATAATATTATTATTAAATTTTAATGTAAATATCCCAATCATTGATTTTAATTCACATTTGATAAAAATTTAGTTCACATATAAATATATAAATTTAATATAAATAAATACAAATTTCTATTATATATTTATGTATAATTTACACCTACAAATTCTACATAAAATATACATCATAAAATACTATTTATAAATTTATGCTACATTATTTATAATAAAAAATAGATAAAATTTTCGTTTTTATATATAAAAGAATTCAGCTTTAGCATAGGACCTTTGACAAAAAAATTGTATGTTTGTGCAACTGCAAATGTGTTTTAGTAAGTTTCTATGTGAATTTGTATGTGTGTGTTATGCTATGATGTATATATATTTCACTATGATTATTTAGTTAAGGAAGACGGTCACAGAGCATTTATGCATTTTAACATTGATTCCATTATTGGCGCCTTACTGCAAGTAATCAACAGACTATCGAGGGAAACTTCCTTGAGGGAACACTCGGTTCTATTTCATATACAAACAGAGAATTACCTCGTGGAACTTCAGTAGTTTTGCAGCAATATTGGCTGTTTCAGTCAACCCTGAAGTAATCTTTCGACCAAAATAGTGATATAACTCCCCCAAGCATTGTGCTAGACCTACAATAATACCAAGGAAAGACAAGTAAAAAAAGCATTACAGATGAGCTCTCATGAAAATTCACATTGACAGACAGCTTCTACATTGAATCAAAATAAAAAAAGCATGCTAATAACAATTATGAGATTATGGCAGTCGGCTATGATGATTTATCAATGTAATGGGACAGAAATAAAACAAAAAAAAAAACTTACACAAACACAACAACGAGAAACAGGAAGAGAAGTCCAACACAGGAAACTTATGGAATTAGGTCTCATGCAGACACAGTAGAATAGTTATGAGGATGTTAAGGACTGACAACAAAAATTAAAGAGACTTCAAGTTGGGGATGTGAAGGAGGTATACCCCCGTGGGGGTATTGATGTGATACAATCCATGCGAAAGTGATTTGCTTAAAGAAATTTGCACGCTTAGATTTAGAGGTAATAATAAGCAAGATCTTATGCGGAATTGAACGATAAGATAAATATTAAGTGGTACTTAGCTTAGGTTAATTCACATGAATAAAAGTTAAGTTCAAAAGATAGCCAGCTTAATCCGACATTGCATACATGAATCGTTCCAACAATAAATTCCAATACTAACAATAAGAGTAGTCTATGAAAGATCCCTCACACAACTCTTCCTATTACTAGGTTCCAGCGGCGAATAATTGACATTATCTTCATGAATCCATTAATAACCATCAACGAAAAGTAAACTAGGAAGATAAGAGCGTTAGTGATGTAGAACGGGTAGGAAGATTTGAATTCTATGGTTTTGAAGAGCAAATCGTCCCAAAAATCGGAAACAATTCTTTATTGGAAATCTGAAATATCTCAGATTTTTCTCACAAAATCTGATAGGAATTCCAACAGTTTCCCCACAAAATCTGAAAAGAAATTCAGCAAGTAATAAGCAGAGGAAAGGAGGGAGAATCTCGTGGACAGCTGTGGGGAAAATAACAACAAATCAATTTCTTCCAAAGTGCTGGACAGCAATATGTCAAATCCCAAATTTTCCCAAGAGGAAAAAAAAAGGAAATTTGGACAGATTTTGGCCAGATCCGGTGAAAGGGGAACACGGCGGGATGTAGAGGTTGGGGGGAATTTTATTTCATAATGCCAGGATCTGGTTTAGGAAATAAAATCAGGACTTGGGATTTGGGAAAGTTTCGGCCAAAGGAGGAGAGGGAAATTGAAAATTACTTTCAATAGTGGAGGTTGGGAGAATAGGAAATAAATCCTAATTATTCCCTATGGGGGGCCGGTGGCAATGAGGGTGAAAAGGGGGAGAATTAATGAGGAGATTTATGATCTCTCATATTTGAATTTAAAATTCAAATAAATTTAAAATTCAGTAATGGGGCCGGCGGCATTAGTGGGAGGGGAGAGAATTATGGAGGCAATCAATGCTTTCAAAAAATAATAAATTAAATTTGGGAATGAAGATATCATCCCAATTTAATTTAAAATTTAAATGGGCTTTGATTAAGCAGGTTTCCTAAAATAAGGATTATAAATTAAGTAACTATTTCAAATTTATTTGTTTGAATTTGAATAATTAATAGAGTTACCTAAAATATGCAAACCAATTTAGAAAAGACTTGATGGCAAGTGGAGAGGGGAGGAAACCAAGGGGATGGCCGGTGGCTTGTGGCTTGGTCGTGAAAGGTGGTGGAGCTAAGTCCGGTTTGGTGGAAATAGGAAGATGATGAAGATAACGACTATGAGTAATAAGAAGGAACCAAACAAATAAACAAAATATAAAAGATACAACCACGAGCCCGGACACATCCTGCGGCTGACGGGTACTACGTTGCCCTTCTCCAAGGGACTTTACGCCACGAGCCCGGACCCATCCTGCGGCTGGTGGAAACTCTGACTCCCTCCCATAGGGATTTCACTAAAGTTCTTCCCAAAGAACACAAGTGCAAAACACAATTTTTTTTTTATTAATCCATCATACCAAATACAAGAGAAGGGGCCTCTATATATATAGGCCTCAAAAGAAATTAAAAGACACATTTGCCCCTTGGGCTTACATAAAACAAGAGGGTAAAAAAGGGAAATTGCAAAACTAAATTAAAATACACTTAATAAACGAAAATAAAACAGAGTGATCTCGGTCGTCGATCTTCAGCTCCTCCTCGGATCTGCATGGACGGTTGGATGTCCGCATCAGTTAGGGGAAGAGTTTCACCCAAGGAATGAAGTAATACAACGTTCCGGTGGTGCTTTGTTGGTTGGATCGGAAGTAGGTGGTGCTTGACAACTTCTTGGATGACTTGGACAGCCACAATCCTTACTGGAGTCTTTGGACAGCAAACAGGTGGCCTGGAGCAGATTCCGGACAGCAATTTTGGTTCTCAAGGATGCTGGACAGCAGTTTTCTGGACTGCAAAATTCTGGACAGCCCGGGACAGCAGCTTGTAAGGCTAGGAACCCTTTGGACGGATCATAGGACTTGCCCGGAAACCTTAGCAATAGCTTGGCAGGGAAAAATCTCAGATTTACAAGAATTCCTACTGTAAATGGCAGCAGGAATGACCTTGGAATTCACATTAATTCTAAAGGCGAAGATGAGTGGTCGCCACAAGAAGTTCCAAGAGGAGAAGGGGCGGCTTGGAGAGGAGGAGGGGATGCCAGCGGTAGAGAGAGGAAGAGGGATGGAGTTTACTTTAGAAAACTGAAAGTAATTTCAGTTTAAGAGATTTGGGAGGGAAAATATTAGAGATCTAATTTTGAATTCCCAAATTAAAGATGAGGATTAATGCTCATTCAATGGAGAAAGCCAATAGGGGGGCCGGCGGCATTTATGAGGGTAGGGCTTGGGAAAACTGAAAGGAATTTCAGTTTTTAAGTGATAATGGAGGGAATTATCTTGAAATTAAAGTTTGAATTTCAAATTAGGGAGGGGGATTAATTGGGCAATTAATGGGAAGCCCAATGAAGGGGCTGGCGTTATTAATGCGCAAGAGGGAATGTGGAGATGAGGTGTCATACTTGCCTAACTGTAAATTTAGGATTAAGAAAGTAATTAAACAAATCCTTTTGAATTTGAAATTCAAAAGAATTGATTTAAGAACTTTCCAAAAATAGAATGACAAATTATGAAAGATTTCAAATTCAAATTCGTTGGATTTGAATTTCGAAAATCTGTCCAAAGATTAAATTACCTAAATTAGGCAAGGATTTCAATGGGGAGAAGGAGGTGGATGGTGGCCGGCGGCTAGAGGTGGATGGTGGCCGGCGGCTAGAGCTTGGGCCGGCGGCATGAGGGGTCGGGTGGAGTGTCGGCCGTGGGTTGAGAAGGTGGAGCTAGGGGGAATACTTGGGTGGATCAAGAGGGGAGGAAGGAGATGAACAACAAAAAAATACGAGTAAGATAGAAGTAATTAACGAACTCACAAAGAGATCGTAAGAACCGCGAACCTTAGACTCTTCCAAAGGTTGACGGGTATTGAAAATTACCCTCCTCGGGCTTCTCCTCTCATGAACTCACTAAGAGATCACCAAGATAACATTTTCCTTATCAATATTCATCATCCCATTCCAAGAGGAAGGGGAGGGCTTAAAAAGCCAAATACATGAAGGAAAATAAAATGACACAATTGCCCCTAGGGCAAACATAAGACAAAGCCCTCAAGTGAGGGTAGAAAGGGAAAAGTACAAATAACAAATAAAATACATCAAAATAAATAGACACGATCGTAGCCGTTGATCTTCGATGTCCTCATCAGGTATGACACCCAAAAGGCCCCTCACCCTTACACGCAAAGTCTCATTTTTATGATTTTTAAATAAGAAACAATGAAAGTTATTTAAACCACAGTTGTGAAAACCGGACCGGACAATGAACCGGAAAAATAATAGGTTCACGGTTCGACCCGTCAAACCGATGTTGAACCGGATGACGTAATAAATAATAGTATTAATAAAAATTCATAAAATTAGCTTAACCTCCGTAGCCATTTAACATCCTATGACTCTTATGGATTTCACTGAAACTTATTAACTTCACTCTAAAATCCATTTTCATATCAAACTAATCAAAGCACCTAAATATTTTCAAAATAAGCCCTTTGCGTTTCTTAAAATTTGCTTGAATTTAAGAAACAATTTTGCATCAAAATTTTGAAATGCTCACTATTTTGACATTCATTAAGCATATGTGATAACTCAAAATAGACTAATATGCAACACAACAAAATTGTATTGACCTTCATATCAGCCTATAAGACTGATTTTCTTCAATAATAGCATAGTATCATATTAGGTGGGCATCAATTAAGTCTATAAGATATAAAGAAATAACACATAACACAAATGTGGCATCAATTAAGTTAATAAAACATAAAAAAATATTTCACAATAACTTAGGCAGGATTTATAACTAACCTAATAAATGGAGAGTAACTGTAACAGCAATAGCACCACCAAACGATACACCTTGCGGTTCCAGGTTCCCGCACGACGTGGCCTGGCCATCTCGCGGCTCTCGATTCCCGCACAGGATGACCAAACGACATTTCATTAAGGGAGGAATGCATACCTATTATCAATATCAAAATATATAATGATGCAAACAAATATGTGATGTTTGCATTGACTTGAGTGATTGCAGTTACATGTAATATAGCATCTCATGGAACTTCTAACTCATCCAAAGACTTAGAAAGATGTTCCACCCAAAATCTGTATGAATTAATTTTACCATCTAAATAATGCTCATTCAAACATAAAGAATCATTTATATATTAATCTTAGAAAAAAATCTAGTTAGATGTTTAGTGATTTCAACAAGAACTACCTATCTACACATCATCTTTTGGATTCAAGATGTTATATAGCACAGCGGAGAAGGGAAAACAGAGAAGGGATAGAGCGTAGAAGCACACGAAGCATACCTACCATCTTTTGCAACTATTCGACAGAGAAAATTGGCCGTCGGAGAGGAATGAAATCACAAACAGCTCAGGATGAAGAGCCTGGAGACAAAGGACGGATCGAATCGCGTTCTTGGAGGGAATTTTTGCATGTGTTTCGCTTCTTAGGACACTACATTTAAATTTTCACTCGTTTGATCTTCATCGAATTGTTGTAATTTAAACAAAATAAGAACCAGACAGTTCTTCTAAAACCCGCCGGTTCAACGATTATCCAGTTCAACCGGGGAAAACCCAATTTTTCTCCTATTTTTGTATTAAATGATTCTAATGAAGGAACTAGACTAGCCGCCAGACTGGCCACCGGTTGAACCGGCCGATCTAGTCCGGTTTTAAAACCTTGACTTTAATTTCCCTCCAACCCGCTTATACAAGCAAACACCAAGACTTTGAACAGCTATCCCTCTTTAAATTGGAATGGCATTCATCACCAAGCACAGCATATATTGTTTAAAACTAGGGTTTTACCCGAGAATATACATGGGCCCGCTTATCGAGCTAACAAGCTCTACTTATACCACTAGCAGATGCAACGACTCATGAAAAATATGGTCTCAATCATGGCCCAAATTTCAATTTTGCTAGAATCACACAATGGAAATCTTTTTTCCTAAGAACAACTTCGCCACCATGAATAATGTACCGACCTTAAAGCATACACCATCAGTACCAAACAAAACCTCATTGTATTTTGAGTAAATCATCTTTGAATAACAAGGGACTTGTTTTCTTAATTGATAATTTGGTAGAATTAATCACATTATAATAATTAATCCTATTCTCAAACCAAACAAAAGTCTGATGATGCCTAATTTAGTCTTCCCTCCGCATAGAATTTTATTAAAAATAAAATCTAATAGAGGTAAGACTTGTTCAACAAAAGTAACAAACAATTCAAAATACATCCCATTCCGAGCCAAATAGACCCTTATGTGCAGAACCATTCACATGTTGGATAGACCTCAATATATATGTTCAACCAAGAGATGTCACTTATGTATAACTTTGCCAGTTATTCAATCATTTGCTTCTCTTGACTCCGAGACCTCGGTGGATTGACCTTGCTCTACATACATCTCAAGCTTGATGCAAGCAAAAATTTGGGAAGGGCCCCAAATTTTTGCGAGCAAAAGCTAAACCTTCCTAGGAGATAGAAATATACAAAATACTAAAAAAGAGAGACATTTTATATCATAATAAGAAGACACTTACAACTTTTGACACTTACAACAAAGACACTTACAAGACACTTAGAAAATGACTTACAAACTTGAGAAATAAAAACAAACACCTAAAGAAGCTTTGCCTTGAGAAGAAGGATACAGGTGGAATGAAACTTGCATAGAGACGAAAGAGATTAGAAGCCGAGACGAATGAGGCATAACTCGCAAGTTATCCTAGAAGAAGGAGAAGGGGATACATAGCTCGCAAGCTATCAATCAAAATCCATAGGTTTTCTTCCAAAAATCAGCCACATAACCAACCTTTTCAAGCCTCAAAACATCTCTAATTTATAAGAAAAGAAAGAAGCTAAACAACCACTATATTAGGGAATATGGAAGACCAAAACACACCAAATAAAAGGCCAAATGACAGAAAATAGAAGGTCAAAAGACAGCAATACTGCTGCAGCAAAACTGCACAAAAAACATGGAGCCCTTTCACGGAAATCCCCACCTAGCAGCTCACAGGAAACCAGCCAGCAGGAGAACGGAACAGCTGCACGGGAAAACCAGCCAGCACAGGAAACAAAGGGCCAAAGCACGGGACAACCAACCAACACAGGAAACAAAGGGCCAAGGCACGGGAACAGCAAAAACCCAAGAGAAACCAAGAGGGCAAGGAGGAAACCGAGAAGGCAACATGGGGAAGGGGAAAAGCCAAATTTTTTCACACATAATGAGCTGAAATTAGTAGAGAAACCTTTTTGAATTAATGAGCTAAAGTCATAACTGAAGCATTTATGAGCTAGAACCAAGTATATCCCAAAAATTAGCTCCAAATCAAAGCAAACAAGGCCCAAACCGAGAGCACCAGCAGCCCAAGGATTAAAACAAATTCTCATATTGTTTTGACCCCTCTTTGCATGCATCAGATACTCCCCTACTTGAAAAACTCATCTCCTGATGAGTTGTCTTTTGATTTGATCCGAGGTGACAGTGGAAGTGCATCTAACTCTTGAATATTTACTTCATACCTTTTTAGAATTTCATCTCGTTCTTGCATAAACTGAGCTTGCAACAGTTGCTTCTTTTTCATGTACTCCGTACACATATGCATCTTCGATTGAAGTTTGTATAATTCATTCTGAAGCGGATTAGTTGAACTCCCTTTTGACGGCATCCATCTGTCCATTGGACTTTGAACTTTAGAAACTTCTAGGTTGCATTCTTCCAAAATGGACTCAATTTTTTTATGATTTTTCATTCTTTTAACTCTTTAAAAAAAGACACAAAACAACCAAGGAAGACTTACAAACCTAGGCTCTCATGACACACACAACAACTGCTATGACTTACCAAGACTTACTCGACAAACCGGGATAAGAACTTGCTCTGATACCAAATTGATGCAAGCAAAAATTTGGGAAGGCGAGCAAAAGCTAAACCTTCCTAGGAGATAGAAATATAGAAAATACTAAAAAAGATACACCTTTTATATCATAATAAGAAGACACTTACAAGACACTTAGAAAATGACTTACAAACTTGAGAAATAAAAACAAACACCTAAAGAAGCTTTGCCTTGAGAAGAAGGATACAGGTGGAATGAAACTTGCGGAGAGACGAAAGAGATTAGAAGCCGAGACGAATGAGGCATAACTCGGAAGTTATCCTAGAAGAAGGAGAAGGGGATACATAGCTCGCAAGCTATCAATCAAAACCCATAGGTTTTCTTCCAAAAATCAGCCACATAACCAACCTTTTCAAGCCTCAAAACATCTCTAATTTATAAGAAAAGAAACAAGCTAAACAGCCACTATATTAGGGAATATGGAAGACCAAGAGACACCAAATAGAAGGCCAAATGACAGCAAATATAAGGTCAAAAGACAGCAAAACTGCACAGAAAACATTGAGCCATTTCACGGAAATCCCCACCCAGCAGCTCACGGGAAACCAGCCAACAGGAGAACGGAACAGCTGCACGGGAAAACCAGCCAGCACAGGAAACAAAGGGCCAAGGCACGGGAAAACCAGCCAACACAGGAAACAAAGGGCCAAGGCACGGGAACAGCAAAAGCCCAAGAGAAATCGAGAGGGCAAGTAGGAAACCGAGAAGGCAGCATGGGGAAGAGGAAAAGCCAAATTTTTTCACACATAATGAGCTAAAATTAGTAGATAAACCTTTTTGAATTAATGAGCTAAAGTCACAACTTAAGCATTTATGAGCTAGAACCAAGTAGATCCCAAAAATTAGCTCCAAATCAAAGCAAACAAGGCCCAAACCGAGAGCACCAGCAGCCCAAGGATCAAAACAAATTCTCATATTGTTTTGACCCCCCCCCCCCCCTCTTGCATGCATCAAAGCAAATTCTCATATTATTTTGAACCCCCCCCCCCCCTTGCATGCATCAAAGCTCCTGGCTCTATTCCATTCATAACTTGTTATAAGTAGCAAATAAAGAAAATTAACACAAATTTAATTGGTTGCTCTCATACAAAAATCAAACTTCTCTAGTATAACTCTCCAAAATTTTTTTAGAGATAACACATTAAAGTAGAAATATAACCAAGCACCCTTCTTTCACTTTATAAGTACCTATGAAATCCACTTGCAAGACTAGCATTGGCTCTTTATTAATGTAATTTCATATACCCTATAATTTCCAATTTTGACTTATTTGTTCTTCCAATCATCCCAATTCTAATGCCATTTACTTATTCACCCTTGTTAACTATCTTGTCACATCTTATCTCAGTGACAATTTATTTATAATTATAATTCTTCTTATAAAAATAATTAGAGGTGAGATTTTGAAATCTTGTTATCTTCTGTTCCAATTAATGCCACTAGTTAAACGCAAGTAACACCACTCTATAAAACTTCAATGTGAAGTAAATTTAGCATACAATTTTCTTTCCTAGACCTTACACACAAACTTTACTTCCAGTTTTCATGAGCCTCCATAAATATGACTTCTACAGTTCTACTATCATCCAAAAGATGTCATTGTCATGATTTCTCAACAGTGGTTGCACTACATTTTAAGCATCCAAGTTATATCACAAGTAAATCTTGAAATTCTAAAATTCAATTACTCAACTCACGGCATTTCTCTTTTTGATATTATCCAATTCAATAAACATAAATGGTCCAATTACTGCTCGATGGAACTCCTCCTACAGCAAAGTAATATTCTCTTGTCATAAATCCCTCAACTGGCTCACACATGCAGATATGCAATTTACAAATCTCTATATTTTATTTAATCCTTTGAAAGCTTCCTATGAGACCTCTATGATGTGAGAATATTAAAAAAATTAAAAATATCATTCCAAGTTATTGAGACAGTTAAAAACACTGTATGGTTTGCTCATAAAGGATTTATGATGTATTTCATACAAAGAGCAATGAATGTAGATGAAAGGTCAATTATTCCAGATGTTGACGATACACTTGCATATACTTTGAAGCGCTTCCATAGACCAATTAGCTTTGAATTGCATAGAAAATAGTTAGACACTCAAGGAGTAAGAAATATAAATTGGTTGAAGGTTGCCATTTGCTTAAAAATGCTTCATTTTTTTGGGAACAAATGCTTAATTTTTTGGGAAAGTACTGCAAAACAATAGAAAATTAGATCTTGTTCTGAAATTTAATGCCATCACTAAGAAACTGAATTTCTTAACAAAAACACAAAGTTTAGACTTCTCTACGAGGAAAAGGTTATGGAAAAAAGGATCAAGTAGTCATGCAAACCAGCGCAGGAAAGGGGTTCACTCCGTTTGCAATCAGCAAGCCATCCTTGGAGACTGCTTGCTCTTGAATATATGGAAATTCCGTCACCTTTTCCAATTACCCTCACCATGGCTAACGAAGCAAGACGTCTGATGGGACGCCTAGCACCCAGAACAAGCAAGGAAAACAAGGCATCTTCGCACTTCCGTTGCCACTGCACAATCTTCTCCTGCGATTACAGAATGACAATGCATCACAAACATAATTCATCAATTGGCCCTTTCTTTGCATTGTTATTGAACTGCTCTTACAATGATTCCTATTGGTGTAGTAAGATTTAACACTACAATGAAAGAGAGAAGGTCGAAGGAGTGAAAGCAGAAGGACCATGACTTGAGCATTTCAAAACAATAAAGGCAAGAATAGGGAGGACTCGACCGTATAAAGGTAAAGTTGATAATAAAACCTGGGACTCTCCGTCGATGGCGTCTACTAGCGCGGAGAGCAGATCGAAGCAGAGAAGCGGGTCCGGAGATTGTTGAGGAGCAGAAGCGACGATAGACTCCAGTTGCGCGACAAGAACGCCAAATTTGGAGAGCGGGACGCTCTCAGTCTGGCGTTTCGCCATGAGAAGGAAGAATGGGAGCTCTTCACCTCACTTCTCCGTGGGTAACAGATCCTTCAATCGGAGAAAGGGGAGAGGGAGGCGCTCCTCAGGCTGGCTGATGAGTTGCCCAGCGTGTTCCAGTAAACCCGAGCAGGGCAGAAGTGTCAACAAGCAGGAGGCGGTCGGCAAAAGAAGTCAATGGCAGCAGGAACCTCGGAAGGACCTTTGGTCCGGTAAGAGCCGGAGAGTTATCCTTCATTTTAGGTTACTTTGCAATGATAAAACCTACAAATAACTCGGTTAATTTGGATTCATTGGATTCACGAAATTAAAAAGAATTTGCTTTTTTTTTCAACTTTCTTTCCCGTTTAAGTTAATTTTAACTTTATCTATTCAATAATATAAATTACATAAGTATCATTTTATTTTATGTTATTTATATATCTAATATCTAAAAAATTAATATTATATATCTACTACCCATGAAACAATTATGAATGCATGAAATGAAATATTAAAGTTTGTAAGTTGGTATCAATGGTATGAATGAAATATAGGAGTGGTATATTTGATATTAAAGTTATATATATGTATTAGATGTGTAATGTTACTATTTTGGATGTTAGATTTATAAATAGCATAAAAATAAAGTGGTATGTATGTAAATCCCCTAATTTAAAATATTTTTGCTATTAAGAGAGAGTTGTCATAAATTCCATTTCAAAAAAAAAAAAATCTTTAAATGAAACATAATTCTTATTATACCTTGAAGTTGAAATCCTACAAAATTTGTTTGAATTGATTCAAATTGATTTAAACCAGATTCGAATCTGAATCTGGTTTGAATTTTGATTCAAACACGATTCGAACATTGGATTGAACCGAGATATGCAAGGGAATGAAATTCAAACAAAAATGGAGAGTTTCTCATGAGATTACAAACTGGGGTTATGGAGTTCATGAAGAGAACCTTTTAGGGCAAGCATCGATAGACCAGAAATGAGTAAAGGATAATAGTAATTTGTGATAGGAGGTTGTTGGTATGCAGAATTATCATATTGAACCAATTTCAAATGACTTGTAGGCCCACATAATTGTATAAGAATACAATAGCTTTTCCCATGTTTGGGTTAATTTTGAAGAAGTTCATAACCTTCCATGTTTAAATGAACACATGTAAGAAATATGGAGTATAAAATGAAACAAATGAGTGAAACTAAAATAAATATTTCATTTTCTATGTTGTAGCCTTCATGCAATACCTAAATCATATACTTTATACTTGGTGAGGGAGTATATTATGCATAAGGTACATGGTTGGTTACAATAAAGAGTGAATATTGTACGGGTTATTAGAGATGTGAGGTAAGGATGAAATAGTAGAGTATTAATGCTTTTGATACATAAATTGAGAACATGTGTTATATATCATATTGGCTTAACAAGAATGATCTATTACCTATCAAGTAAGTGTATCTCTTATCAGTGCCTCTCAATTTAATGATACAGTATTAGGATTGTCAACTTATCGCAAGGTACTAAAAATGGGTTAAAAATAGTAATTTTGTAAGAATTTCTACTAGTTGGTCTTTTGAATTGATTTGAAGAGCTATAATTTTTCTTAAAAGTAAGCACTCCCAAATAAAGTTAATCTATTTCAACGTGTTTGGCTCTTGCTTAAAAAATAAATTATTGACAAAGGACATGGTTAAGATATTTTCACAATGAAGATAAGTAGGTTGTTGGACTATGATTTGAAAAATTGTAAGAAGACAACAAAAATGTCATTGTAGCAGTGGCTAAGGCTTTATATCCAGCTAATCAAAATATATCTACATCACATATCAAAGCCTACTATGAACGCTACACGACTTGCTCCTTACTCCTTACCTAGCCTAAAAACATAAGTAAAAAACGAATGAGCTAACACGGCTCAGTAGGTCATCATAGTCTAAAACAAAAATAAATACCTAAAACCAAAATAACTGAAAATATTGTGTTGCAATAATATGTTGAAGTACTATATAAAAAATTGGAACTGAAACACGTACCGACACTGAATGCATCTAAATAACTATTGAAATTTAACTTAAACTTACAAAAATATAAATAATATCTTCTAATAAGTTTCATATTTTCCTCAGGCTAAAATTTTCTTTACATATTTAAAGATTAGCATAATTCATTCTCATCGCCAACAGAATATCTCGTCTCTACCAACAGAATCCCTCATCGCCGCTAACAGAATCCGACCTTCTCTTCGCCAAAAGAATATGTTCTTGCCACCAACAGAATCCCTTCTATCTGCCAACAAAATCCCTTTTTAGGGAATACTAGAAGAGCCATCCGGCTTATAAGTTTGCATAATCCCTTCTCGTCGTCAAATTTCATATTTGATAGTTAACAAAATCCCTTCTCTCACAAAAAGATTTTTACATTTCATTTAATATTCATATATTTCAATGTACTATTTTAAATAAAGTATAATTAAACTCAATTCAAAGTTTGCCAAAAATGCCTTGGCAATAGGCAACAGAAAATACTATTGAATAGAAATTCACATTTTTATAAATTAATCAAATTATGAGAGATCTTATGTAACAACCTTCCAAAGCATTAACTGAACATAAAAACTATTTTTATATATTTAAATAAAAATTTGAATTCATAACATCATTATTTTAAAAATCACATGGCCAAAAATCTCGAATAAATACTCAATTGTGTGGCAATCGCTAAAAAAAGTGTACATAAGAACTTATTTTATGCTCATATTTTTAATTATTATATCTAAATGGTTTTCTGGAACTACATGCTAATATTTTTTGTGCTAAGAGAAGATAATGAAGGGATTTGCCCTAGCAAAGAGGTCATGGTTGGAGCTGTCAAAAACGGGTCACGGGTCGGGTTCGGGTCCAACCCGACACTGTTCAACCTGACCCGCTTTTACAAACGGGTCGTTTTTCCGAACCCGACCGCTTCGGGTTCGGGTCAACCCTAACCGGACATGTTTCGGGTATATTTCATTAAATTTTTTATTTAATTTAATTTATTTAAATTTAAATCAAATTAAGGTAAGATTTACTTCAATTAATTTAAAATAAATCAAGATTAATTTAATTTGGGCAATAATGTTTATAATTTTTTGAAATATCATTTACTTATTTGATAAAAATCCTTTTAAATCCTCCTAAATTAATTAAAACGGGTCAAACTGGATTGATTTCGGGTTTCCGGGTCAACCCGAACCCAACCCGGTTTTACAAACGGGTTGAAATCCCTAACCCGAACCCGACCCGGTTAGGGTTCGGGTTGACCCGAACCCGAAATTTTTAGGTCGGGTTTGGGTCGGATCAAATATTGACACCTCTAGTCATGGTTATGAATTATATAGCCACATTAACAAAATATCTCAGAGTCTACAAGCTTATCCTAACTTTGTGGTGATGGTAATGGTTATATAGTTTGGTGAAAGTGATCAATCTAAGGTGCTTGTTATAATACTTGACATTCTCATTAATCATATAATATTCATGGCAGATTATTAAAAAAACCCATATATGAGAGAAGATGTAATGTCTTTGTAAAGTAGAGGAGTAGCATATGATATTCACATGTTCAAGTATCATCGTTTAACTTTCAACCATAATGATAAGAAAACCAATGAGCTTGCATATAGATTGATGGGCTTTTAACTAGTAAAATTACAAATGATAAAGTTTTATCAGCAGTTTCATGTTATGTTGATTCAATGAGTTTCAAGAAAATTGTTTATTCTAAAGCAAATATAAACAATTTTGAAGCAAAGATCAAAGCTAGCATAGAACATGAGTTATAATAATTTGCTTGTATCGAGGATGTCCATGAAGAACAAGAGGATCATTGGGATGGATTCACCTTAAACCCAATTGCTCCATCTAAAAAAAAAACTTTATTATATGATTCTTTATATAATTTATTCATCTTCATCTTTTTTTTTTATTACAAGGGTTTTTAGGCAATTGCCCGCACTAAAAGTTTTAAAAAACTATGATCTTTAGGCAATTGCCCCTAGCATAATTTAACACATTGTGTAGATGCGTTATTGTTAGGGAACGATGAACCATGTATAAAAAGAAATAGTAAAGACAACCGAAAAATATCTTTACAACCAAAATTTGTTCCAACCAGTGGGGCGTTGCCTCATTGGACCCACGACATATCTGTGAAGCATACAACGATTAAGGATATGAACAAATAAGAGTCAAGTCAAATTCTAAACTTTTACTTATAAATTTGTTGCCCCTGATCATTATGCAATAATGATCTCATATTTGAAGTAAGAAAATGTCGAGCACCAATAAAGGCCACGCCACATATAGTTGGGACGCCCATAAGATATATGATATTATAAATAATTATTCTAACATTCCTCATGAGTGAATGATTTCCGTACTAGCTTTTGATAGATTATATGACTTGATGTCCATCACTAAAAATTAAAGAACTTAGAGGTTTTGCTACATCAAAATTTTCTAGATAAAAATAAAAATCTTTTCACCATAACTTTTGCACCCGTTTAATCTAAATAAAATAAAAGTATGATAATATTAAAAAAATTTAATGGAATAATTCGATTGTGAGATTAAGGTTTCGTTTGGAACAGCTTTCTTACTGCTTATTAACGCAATTTTTTATCACAAATTTTATATTAAAAATACTGCTTTAATAAGCAGTAAGAAAACCGTTCTAAACAAAAGCCTAAGTAATCGGCTATCATATAAAATATGGAGAAAGAAATAAAAGAGTTGACAAAGAACATATTTTGCATTGAAGATTGAATGATTTGTCTCTATCATTTAAGAAATAACATAAAGAAATACTAAAATTTTATGATTGTCATAAGTTTCAAAAGCTTAATAAGTAGAGTGCAAAAGCATACATCACACCGAGTTTGAAGCAAAAGTAATTAATTAATTAATATAAATTAACGACATAACTGATTATAAATCAATGACATAAGTTATTTAATTCATATATAGTGAATAGTAGAAAGTTAGTTTCTATCGTTGAAGAGTGCATTAAAGAGATAATTATATAAAAATAATAATTTATTATGAGATAATCAATCCACACAACACTGAACTCTTCTGCTCTACAGAAATACAGGAAATAAAGAAGCTCATGAGTCATGGCCCAAATTTCCCGTGATCTTCTTGCTCGAGCGCAGTCGCCAGCGCGCGTTATCGCCTTACTACCGAGAGAAGTAGGGGCAGTGATAGTTTCGAAAGGGAAGGGTAGTGAAGAACAATCGAAAGAGTTGCAGTAGACAAGGTCATGGTTTCACTCCTCAACGCTCGATATCTGACTCCACCATTGTTGTCGAGCTCACCCATTCCTTCCAATACCCCACAATGGAACCCTCTTTTCTTCTCTGTTTTATCCTTCAGCCAAAAAGCTCCCAGAGCCACCACCAATGGCGGAAACGGAGCTCCCGAACCCCCAAAGCGTGCTAAAAAAACTCGTAAGAAGGCTTCGTCGTCAGCATCCGTGAAGAAAAAGCGCGCTTCCATGGAAAAGGATTCAACTTTGGAAGAATCCAAAGTCGCTGATGCCCAAACTGAAGCAAAAGCGACGGGGGCTGAGGAGGAGGAAGAGGCTTTCGACGATGAAATAGACTTCCCTTACGAGTCTCCGCCTCTGGTTTGCTGTTTCGGTGCGGCGCAGAGGGAGTTTGTGCCGACCGTTAGGGTATCCGAGCGGCGAATGCATCCGGACCAATACTCGTCGTGGAAGGGCTTGCAATGGAATCCGCCGGAGTTCGTAAGGGCTCCTGGCGGATCGCCGTCGAATGTCGCCATCTCCCACGTTCGACTGGGCGGTCGCGCAGCCTTCATGGGGAAAGTTGGGGATGATGATTTCGGAAACGATCTCGTCTACAAGATGAACATGGAGAAAGTCCAGACTCGAGCAGTGAAGATCGATCCAGCTGTCAGTACTGCGTCTTCGTATATGCGGATAGGGTTCCGAGATGATGGCAAACGCAGGAGGATGGTGGCGGATACAGTAAAGGCTTGTGCAGAGGATTCCTTCTTGAGTTCTGAGATTGACGTTGCTGTCCTAAAAGAGGTATTGAACTGATACCATGCTAATTTTGATTAGAATGAGAAGATCCCATGGGTAGTTTAAATACAAATCGAGCAAAATTTGACATTCACGTCTAATGATTTAGTACACTTATGCTGTACTCTGCATGATCCTCAATTGTAAACTTGACAGTTGATGGTTCAGTCATCACTGGGAAAAAATTATCCTCATTGCATAATTAAAAGATAATATTGTTTAACTGTATTGAGGTTAATAGCATTCAATTAGATCTGAGTGAGGACAGCTCTTGCCCTTTGCTCTTAGGATTGAGATAAAGCCTTCGTTTGAGACAGCTTTTTACCTGCTTCTTAAAGCTGCTGCTTTAAGATGTAGTAAGAAAGCCATCCCAAACAAAGCAAAAGTCTGGCTATGTATACTATGAAAGCTGTCTATAAACTAAGTATATTAAGAAGCTTTGCTCTCCTTAAGTTTAGGGTAATTTGTTTGCCTTCCCTCCCTTTAAAAACTTGTTCTGCTACTGATGATAATAAAAGCAGTTAGAATGGTAATTAAAACTTTTATACTTGTAGAAGTACATGGCATTGAAGTAACATGCACAAAAGTGGAGATCATATATTATTAAGAAAAATATGAAAGTGACTATCATAAAGGAAATAGTAATGCTTAAAAGATTAGTTATAGTTGGGTCAATTATAAGTTCCATATTCATATTCAAGAATTAAATTAGTCAAACTCATCTTCTTTATCCTCATAAATCAAAATAGCCTCATCATTTCATACAATATAATCTTTTTCATCACCTTCAGCTATTTCAAGTATTCTAGCCTCAAAGGAAAACTCTTAATCTTTTCTTTTATATTGTTCTTGAAAAATTGTAGTTTTTTTCATAGAAATCACTAGCTCTTGCAACAATATTCTATGCCAATCCTTCTTTATTAGATAGTCATTCTCTCCATCAAAAGACAAAATCCAATTTAAAGAATTGCATCAATGGTGTCATAATTGCTTACACTAATCACGCCTTGCTTTATGCACTATAGCTATTGTGAGGCCTGAATAACAAGCTATTTGATGCACTTGTACAACCACCTTGTTGGAGCATGATGCGAGCCTTGCTATGCTTTGAGCTACAGATGCACTATTATTAAATATGCTTTGAAACAACACACTTAAAGTAGTATTACCATAAATTCTATTTAGATATTTAGTAGGGTTGGAAATGCATATACATTGTTAGAAGTTAGAACTACAGTGACGCCGGAGCTGAGCCACTTAATCATGTTAACTTCAGGATAGTTAAATTCCATTTAGTTGTTAGTATAGTTATATAGATATAGTGTTCTTTATGGTGGCATGTAGCCTTTTATGTTACTTCTTTTTGGCTATAAATATATAGTCACACTTGTAATAGGGAGATTTTGGAGATTAATAAAATTTGAGTTGTGTCATTTTTGTATCCTAAGAACTGAATTCTTTTTCCCAAGAGGAGTTCTTGGAGTTGGTTCGGACGCGGTCACCGGATCGTCGACGAGTTGTCGACCCATCCTGTCCGATGTCATGCAGTGTCCTAGGAATTGCATTATTCTCCTCAATTTCCTGTATTTGACCTGAGTGCAGTCAAAGGGTGATTGAAATAGGATTTTTCTCAAAATATGCAGGCTAGGATACTTCATTTCAATTCACAGGTTCTTTTATCTCCTACAATGCAACCTGCTCTGTTTAGAGCGATTAAATGGTCGAAGAAGTTCGATAGCAGAATATTCTTTGATCTAAACCTGCCACTTCCCCTTTGGAATTCTCGCGATGAGACCAAGGAACTGATCAAGAGAGCATGGGACGAGTCTGATCTTATTGAAGTATCAAGGCAGGAATTAGAATTTCTCTTGGATGAAGAGTACTATGAGAAGAAGAAAAACTACAGGCCCCAATACTATTCAGAGTCATATGAGCAGACCAGAAAGATTCGTGATTATTACCATTACACTCCTGAGGAGATTGCTCCCATTTGGCATGACAGAATAAAGATCTTATTTGTCACTGATGGAACACTTCGTATCCATTACTATACTCCAAAGTTCAATGGGGCAGTTGTTGGGACGGAGGATGTGCTCATTACTCCTTTCACCTGCGACCGCACTGGCTCTGGTGATGCTGTTGTTGCTGCAGTTATGAGAAAGCTCACAATACATCCAGAGATGTACGAGGATCAGGACATTTTGGAACGGCAACTCAGATTTGCTGTTGCTGCAGGTATCATTTCACAGTGGACTATTGGAGCCGTTAGAGGCTTTCCAACTGAAAGTGCTACACAAAATCTGAAAGAGCAGGTGTATGTGCCTTCGATGTGGTAGACAACTATGAAATGTGAATCCAGGATTCCAGATGCAGTTGAAGTTTAGCAAACTGTGGCTTTGTTTGGGACGGTTTTTTTATTCCTTCTTAAAGTTATTTTTTAGTATAAAAATTAAAATTTTTTACTAGAAAGCTGTTTTAAAAAACAATAAGAAAACCGTTCCAAACAAAACTTATGTCTTGTTTCTTATAGGTCTTACTTGCCAGAGACCTTGAAATGCTTTATGGACATGAAGGGCTGGCTACTGATTTTTCCCTGGAAGAAGGACTAATGTAGGACTAACTATGCAACGGATTGAATCTTCATATACGGCTCACTCTTTGCAAATTCTGGGCTTTGGATGTTTGTAATCACCATGTTATTCACTACTGTATTCTGAGGTAGGTACTTGTGCGCACCATTTTAATGAAAGTTGGTAAAAAGCTTTCCATTAACTATATTTGTTTCCTTATATTTGTTAAGCTGGAAAGTCATTTTCTTGTTTTCCTATTGCATATTCCCCATTTTACTGGTTTTATTTCTTGATTGTGTCTTTTCTTTTCATCATTTCTATGTTCCTATTGTAAGGATTTAATGGAGACAAAAAATAACTTCATCGTCTTCGAAAGACATGTCAAATCATCGAGAAGAATTATCTGAATCGTACCTGAATCCATTGAAATGCAAAATCGAGGTCTTCAATCTTCGACGTTTGAAGCGGCATTCTCTAAGAGAGGCCCTTCTTTTCATTCAAGATGGGAAATGAGGAAAATTAGAACTTCATCGTTTAAACTGGGGATCATGACCCTTTTATACTTCAAATGTATTTAATTTTATTTCAGCCCATAATTAAAATAAAATAAATACTTGACATCTACACAAATAATTAATTTCATACAAATTTAAATGAGATGCCACATACGTCAAATAATAATTTATTCTTAAATAGATCATAAATTTAATTGACTCAATTTTAAATAACGTCTAATGTATAATACTTTATTTATATGTATAAATATATAAACTCACATATAGAAATTTTCCAACATCAATGTCATATTGAGTACCTTCATGAAAGTGTAATTTGAATTAATATTGGTCGACATTTTTGACCTTGATGAAGGGGTTATAATACTCTGTTGTTCATAATATGCGGACAATATATCAACTGTGCATGGCCGTGTTTGTCGACATGTATGATAAAATGATGATTTTGATTATTATTTTCCATGAAAGTTGTCTTTTTCCTTAATTCAGCTTTGCGTCTATATGTTGGCATGATCATACCTGCTCGACTGCAACTGGTATGAGATTTATGCTAGTTTGCTACAATTGATTTGCGACGCTGTTATATTAATCAGTAGCTTGCAGATGCTTGTTATTGATGTAATAACCTTCTCTTGCAGACCCTGCTTCTGCAAATTGAAACTATCATGATATCACAGAAATATTAGTTGTTCCATAATTCAATCTATATGATCATGAAGTCATGGGAAATACGCACTTGCAAAAAAATTTTCATAATCATATTTTTCAAAGAAATCGGAAATTGCTTTTCATTACTGTAACTATATTGATGAAAGTTTTAGCTGAAAGTAGCATGTGAAAGTGAAGAAGATCACCTTCTTATATGTAACCTCATGAGAGTGGATCTTCCATTTTGAAGAATGAAAAGCTGCGTTTTGAGTATTTGATATGTATTTGCAAATACTTAATAAAAATTCAGCAAATACTCAATTGTGAGTATTACTGAGTATTTACTGGGATTTTTGTTAGTATTCATTGAGTATTTGCTTATTTATTGCATATTTACTTAGTATTTATAAATACTCATTAAATACGCAGCAATTTGAACGGTTCTTCATGTCCGGACTTCTCACAGAATAATTTCTCCCTGTTGGGATAATTTTTTTATTACTCTTTAGAGCAACTTTTTACTACAAAAAATTTTAAACTAAAAAGTTATTTTAAAAAACAATAAAAAACCATTCCAGGCAGGCCAAAATCTTATAAAAGCTTATCAGAAATAACAAAAAATAACTAAAATACTAATGGACTGAAGAATCAAAGAATTTGCTTTTGTTTTATTTAAATTTTAGGAGTGGACTTACTTATTAGAACCGATGTTCTTGTTCAATACTTAAAAAATTTCCTGATTTTTCAATGTCTTTTTCAGTATAATCATGTCAGATACATAATTATTTAGGTCTACAATATAGTTAACGATAGCAAGCAAGTTTTGATATAATTCCAAAGGCCTTATGATTGTGAACATGATGAAGAATCAATTTATGCTATTATTTTCTAGTTTATTCTAGATCTTTAGATTATGGCTAGATTTTTTTTTTTAATTTAAATTGATTAAATTTTTGAATTTCTTTAATTATATTATAGGATTTATCCAAATATTAATTTAAATTAGTTTAGTTTTATATATAATTTGTTAAAATCTCAATCATCCATTTGCCCTTAATACTAGGGGTGTTAATATTTGACACAACCTAAAAACACAATCTGAACCTAAAACATAAATTTCAGGTTCTGGTCAACCCGAGCTCGAACCTAGTAATTTTAGGGTTAAGATTTTCTATCCATTTTAAAAATCAAGTTGGGTTCAAGTTAATCTAGAAACCTGAGATTGACCCAGAATGACCCACACTAATTGGACTTGCCCGTGCTAATCGTGCCTGATCGGAATTGTCCAGCCTGCCCGCTCGAATCCGTAAACCTCGCGTCGCGTCCCGAAGCCATCATCATGTCCCGGACATGCCTGCATGCCCGCTGTCCCCTCATCCTAACTTCAGTCGCCGGCCCACTTCAGTTAACTTTGGTTGCCGCCGACCCACCACTGTTGTCGACCTGCTATTGTTGGTGTTGCGTGTCCACAGGTCGGGTCGGGTCGGGTTGACCCAAACCAGATGCGTGTCGAGTTCTGGTTCGAAAAATTGACCCGTTTGGCAAAACGGGTGATGTGAAACCAGGAATTGGATTTAGAAACTTAATAAAATATTGTTGAAGTAGTGAAATTGCAAGCTTAATATTGTTCACAATTGAAACTTATCGGAGATCTTAGAATTCAACTACGCTTAGGCACGAGCTTACACATAAATTAGCAAGATCGGTAATAACGACGGTAATAAAAGTAAAGCAAATAAAATACCTAGATACTACGGTAGGACGCTCCTAAGGCTTCAATACACTGCAGGAAAACTAGGGACAAGAACCTAACACGATGGTGTAAGTTGCCTAAGTGTTGCGGGTTGGTTATAAAGTGTGGACAGCAACTTAACAAGAGTTTATGGGCACCTAAAAGACACTAAACAGTGCAGGAAAAGTTCTGGACAGCAAAGTTTTCTAAGGTGGCAAGTGACTTAGGTGAGTGGGTGGGTGGCAAGTGACAATGATAACACTTAGGTAGCTAAATATACTTGATTACAATGAAAATGGCATGCAGAAATTAATGGACATCAAAGTAAAACAGTGAATAAAATTACCTAGATGATGTGTTGCATGTAAACGACTAATGGCAAGGTAAACTCGACTCCTAGGATGCATCTAGCAAAAACAAAGCATGCTAGCCATGCTCTGATACCAAGATGATGTGAAACCAGGAATTGGATTTAGAAACTTAATAAAATATTGTTCAAGTAGTGAAATTGCAAGCTTAATATTGTTCACAATTGAAACTTATCGGAGATCTTAGAATTTAACTACGCTTAGGCACGAACTTACACCTAAATTAGCAAGATCGGTAAAATAACGACGGTAATAAAAGTAAAGCAAATGAAAAGCCAACTCGAATCCCGCGGTTAACAAAGCGATTGTCTCACCGTGAGGCTACGCTCATTTACCTACTTCTAGGCTTGTTGGAAGAAGAATAACCACACAAGTGATGACACCACTCCGAGGGCGATGGTGCCGTAGATCCGTAGAGAAGGAGAGGAAGGCGCCGGACGTGGAGGTGGTGTGGAACGACGCCCTTCGATGATCCACGTGTAGACGGAAAAAGGATCGTCGATGGAATCCACTAGAGTTGGTAGAATCTGGTCCAAATATTCTTCGACGGTGTCGTCGAAGTCAAAGCCTACGTCGAAGAAGGGAGATCTGAGGATGTTAACTCGTCCGCAGTTGTCGTACTCAAACCCGAAATTTCATTTGGGTTCCTCCATGCATTCTTGAAGATGCGAAGGGGTGGTCGCCGCAAGAAACTCTCCAATGAGGGGAGGTTGGTTTGGAAAACAAAGAGAATAAAACTGAGATTAATTTCAGTTTTTGGGAGTTTTGGAGGGAAATTTTGAATTCCAATGAGAGGGCAGTTAATTCCTTAATTAGGAATTAATGGGGGAAAGAGAGAGAGGAGGCCGGCGGTGGAAGAATAGGGAGAGGGGGAAGATTAAACTGAAATTATTTTAGTTTTCAAAGCAATATGAGGGAAAATTAATGGATCCTAATTTAAATTTCAAAATAGGATCAAGGGGTTAATGTGGTCATTAAAGAGAATTCCCCATAGGGGGCCGGAGGCATAACTAGGGAGAGAGGGAATTGGGTAGAGAAGAAAGGGGTTTCCAATGTGGTTTGGTGACGTGGCAAGGATTTTGAAAACTCCAAATTAATTTCATTAGAGATTTATTTGATCATGAAAACCTTCCTAATTTGGATTTCCAATTTATGAAACAATTCGAAATTTGAATCTCAAATTTCACATTGGAAATTGGTGGAGAGGGGGAGCAGGTCGGGTGGGGGAGGGCTCTCGGCAAGGTGGCCGGCCGGCGGTTGGGAGCTTGGCCGTCGGTGGGGAAACCTAGGGAGGCCGGCGGCAAGGGTTAGGGTGGGCTTTGTGTAGAATTTCTTGAAGGGGGAAAAGAAAAGAAAATGGAAGAGGAAAATACTAGGGTAAACAATTACCTAGAGAACTCACTAAGAGATCTCGAAGAAGAACTCACCAAGAGATCTTTGTTGCACTCACAAAGAGAACATGGAAAAGAAATTTCACTCATCCAATAAAAATATCAAGTACAATGACAAAGCCTTTTATATAGGCTATCTAGAAATAAAATGCATAAAGACGATGATGCCCTTGGGCTACAATAAGCACTAATTCCCTCATAGGGGTACAAAAGGAAAAACATGAAATATAAATGACATGAATAAAATAAAACATCAAAAATAAAGGCTCTGAATCAAGGCCGTCGATCGGCGTCTCCGGCGATGGTACATGTGTCGAAATCTGATGTCCCCATCATTCTCCCCGGGTGGGAGGAAGCTCGACCCTGTCTAGTAAGGGTCCTGAGAACTCTCATACAGCTCCAGAAGGTCGGGGTCCAGCCTCTGTATCTCATCCCGCTCCAACCAAGTATCCTCCGTCTCCGGCTTTCCTCTCCAACGAACTAAGTATCTGTGGCGTCCGCCATCCCTGGTGGAAATGATCTCATCACTGAGTATGGTTTCAATCTTCTTCGTATTAGGTAAT